TGCGACTCTACCCGCGGATGAACCGCGAGTCGCGAGAAATCCGGCCAGCCCGATCCGGAACCTCACTGAGCCGGATCTGCAGGGAGCCGGAGCCGCGTGGCTCATGATCTGCGGTGCACGGCTCCGGTTCACTGCGGGTTGATCTGCGAGGTGAGCCGGACCCTCAAACAGCCTTAGCCCGACCTGTCAGGTCTACGCGCCTGGGGGACCAAGGTCTGGACCCGCACGCGCGACGCGCGCAAACTCGACGCGCGCGGGAAGCTAGGGCACTTCGTCGGTTTCAGCGAACAGTACAAGGACGCCATCCTCGTCTACTGGCCCGACAGACGCACTGTCACCGTTGAGCGGTCCTTCGTCTACGAGGAGCGCACCCCCGTTTTCGAATTCTCGCTGGCTCCGCATAAGGGGGCGTTGGGTCATGGTCATGCGCACCCAGCTCCTAACGGAACGACCCTCCCTCAGAATCCCATTGCGGATGTGCCCGCGCCTAAAGAACCCCCTGCGACCACAGTTCCTCCCCTCGCTCTTCCCACTGCCTTCCCCACCACTGCTCCCACTCCCACTTCCCCCAGCATTGAACCCCACGCGATGGCCGAAGAAATCGACGAGTTCCATGACCTCCCGGACCTCTACCTCGACCCCGTGGAAGAACAGGAGATGCGGGAGGATGAAGAGCGGGAGAGACGGGAGGCGGAGATAAGAGCAGACCTGGATAAGGCGCATGCAGAGAGGGTGCGGCAGGCGAAGGCGCAGGAGGAACGCGACACTGCCGAGGTCAGTGACATCATCGATGATGCGGACAGCTCCGACTCGGACGAAGAAGTCATCGTCGAGCAAGCACCCCCCGTCGAGCAACTTGGGCGTGGGCATCGCGTACGCAAGCCATCGTACTACCTCCGACGCGTCGCCGGTGGCGAAGGCACCGCCAATGGCCGCAATGCACGCCTTCCACGCGGCATCGCCCCGGGCGACATCCTGGGAGTGATGACGGAAGAAAGCGAGGAGACGACGGGTGGGTGGGTCATGCTGTCACAGGAGGAGGCCGAGGAAGACTACGAAGTGGTCGACACGGCCCTCTCCCTCCAACCTGGCGACGAGCCCTCGACACTCCGCCAAGCCCTCAACTCGCCGGACGCTGAGCACTGGCGCGCTGCCATGCAGGCTGAGATCGACAACCTCCTCGAGCACGGAACGTACGAACTCGTCGAGCCGCCCAAGGGCGCACACATTATCAACTCGAAGTTCGTGTTCCGCGTCAAGCGCGACGCAGACGGCAGCATCAAACAGTACAAGGCGCGGGCGGTCGCTCTCGGCAACACCCAGCTCTACGGCCTCGAGTACGAGCAGACCTTCTCCCCTGTCGCCAAGCTCGCATCACAACGTCTCCTCCTCGGGCTCGCGGTGCAAAACAAGTGGGACGTCATCCAGATGGACGTCAAGTCGGCGTACCTCAATGGCGACCTCGACGAGATCATCTACATGCGCCAACCACCCGGCACCGCCATCGACGACGACACTCGCGTGTGCCGGCTCAAGAAGTCCCTCTACGGGCTCAAGCAGGCCGGACGCAGTTGGTACAAGGTCCTGCACGAGGCGATGCGCCAGCTCAAGCTTATGCGCTGCGACGGAGACCACGCGCTCTTCTACCGAGTCGAGGACACCTCACGTGTGTACGTCGCCACGAACGTCGACGACCTCATCATCACTGGTACGGCCGACTTCCTCTCCGAGTTCCGCGAAGGGATCAAGACGCGTTTCGCCATGACGGATGCGGGACGGCTCGCTTGGCTCCTTGGGATCGAGGTGCAGTACGATCTCGAGCGCGGCGAGATGCGCCTGTCGCAGCGTCTCGCCATCGACATGCTCGCGCGCAAGTTCCGACTCGACCAGTCGAACCCCGTGGTCACTCCGTTCGCCTCGGGCGCCGTGCTGTCCAAGGCGCAGTGCCCCAACAGCGACATCGAACGCGCGGAGATGAGGGGCGTCCCGTACCGCGAGGGCGTCGGCTCGCTCATGTACATCGCGCTTGCCACCAGGCCGGACATCATGTTCGCGGTCGCGCGGCTGGCGCAGTACATGAGCAACCCGGGACGCCAGCACTGGGAGGCGTTCAAGCACGTCGTGCGCTACCTCAAGGGGACACGCGAGATGTGGCTCACCTACTCGCGCAACGGCGGTCCACTTGCGGGATACACGGACGCGGACTGGGGGACCTCAGATGACACGCGGCACTCCATGTGTGGGTATGTCTTCACCTACGCTGGGGGCGCGATCTCCTGGTCGGCGAAGAAGCAAGCCGTCGTCGCTCTGTCCACCACGGAGGCGGAGTACATCGGCATGGCTCATGCGGCCAAGGAGGGTGTTTGGCTGCGCGCGGTGATCGCGCAGATCGTTCACGTGTCCCTGCTCAAGTACCCGTCGCGGCTCTTCTGCGACAACAAGTCCGCGATGGAGCTCGCACGCAACAACGCGTACCACGGCCGCACCAAGCACATCGACATCCGGTACCACTGGATCCGCGGCGCAGTTGAGCGCGGCCAAATCGCGCTCCTGTATTGCAGCACCGAGGAGATGCCTGCCGATATGTTCACAAAGTCCCTCACGTCCACTCGTATGCGCTCCCTCCTCCTCGTCATCGGTATGCGCTCGCTTTGAGGGGGCGTGTTAGTATATGTGTTACACCATGGACTCTGTCTCGTTACTATAAAATTCAAAGCTCACGTTTCGCGCGTCCGCGGCCACACGGGCCGCGGCGCTATCTTGCTGTACGCTCCATTCTCATCCTTGACGACTCGATCGCCTCTACTACCGATCTCGTCGTCCCGTTTCCGCTCCATCCGCTCCTTAATAGCTACGCACGTCGCGGGGAGTCCCTCACTCGTTCTCGTCCCGAACTTGTGAGGTGAGCTCCCCTACATACCACGTCTAGCCCCGTTCAGTAACTGACGAGTATGCGTAGATTAACGCTACCGCGTTCATTAGGTTAGCTCACTATTGATTGACTCGTTCTCGTCCCGAACTTGTGAGATTAACGCTACCGCGTTCATTAGGTGCCCGCTCGCTCCGCTTGCTCTCGCCTCGCACCACATCGTTCCCCTCTGCTCTCCCGCTCGGCCCCGACCTTAACATCGCGGAGGTCGGTCTGGCTGTAGCCGGTCCTGTCTGCGAGCTCATTGAACCGCGCGTAGTACTCGACGACGGAGAGGCTATGCTGGTGAAGAGCCTGCAGGGCTGCCTTCGCGTCGACTGCCTCGTCGGCCGTCTCGAATCGCATTTTGAACGCCGCTCTGAAGGTCGTCCAGTCGTTGTTGAACACGGCCAGCCCGTTACCGATCGTTTCCAGGTAGGGGGTAGCCCAGATCGCAGCGTCATCGGTGAGGAGAGTGAGAGCTGACTTGATCCACTTCGCGTCGTCGCGATCGAAGCCGCCCGTGGCGTTGGCAGTGTTCAGATGGCCTCCCATCTGCATCGCATAGACTTGGAAGGACGCTACGAAGCGGCGTGCATCCGAACTGGTCTTGCCGTTGTACGGCTGGGGCTTGTTCGCGACCTTTGTCGCGTCCTTCGTGGCTTGGGTGTTGACGTTCGAAGCCACCGTCGCATTCGTCATAGCTTGGGGGAGGGTGGTGGACAGGTTCTGGAATGCGGTTGCCAGATCTGTCACCGCCTGGGTAAGGTTGGCCTGTCCAGCAACCAACTGCTGCTGGTTCGCGGTGAGGGCCTGCATGAGGGCCTGAAACTGCTGGGCATCCATGACTAGGGGTGGGATAGGAGTGTGCGTCTCGTCGAATCTAGCCCTGCGGGTCGTGTAGGTGACAGGGGTACGGATATGGGGACACGGTTGGTCGTCGCACTCTCGCCAGAGGAGGTCGTTTCGCTCGTTGCGGACGATGTGGACGTGCCGGTTGTCTTCAGTGTCAACCGCGTGCTGATGACCTGCGCAAGCCACCGTGCTCTAGGAACCAGGGTACGCTCCGGGGAAGTGAACACCTATTGAGGCTTCCGGGCAGCCAATCAGTCGGGATGACCAACTGCGCGGATAGAGTCGTCGGCCGGGAGCGGGGTAGTGTTCTCAGAGTGTGATACTCGAGCTCAACAGACCCAGGGAGACTGCGATACGCTCAGAGCCTTATAACTCCGGCAGGTATGCAGGGTAGGGGAAGAGTGGGGCGAGTGGCACAGGGTGGGGACGATGCTTGCACGAGTGGGGGCGATCCGATGCTTTGATGCCAGCACTCACTGGTTAGATCTCGACCTAATGACGCGGGAGCGGGCCGCGAACGCCAATCGGAGGAGAGGGAGGTGTGGATGGGTATGGATAGAGGTTGGATGACCTCGATGTGGTGGTGCAGAGGTGTCGCCGGCACTAGGCGCAAAGCAAACGCAAACTAGAGTCACGCGAGGGATGTCTAGCCCACAAAGACCAAGTTAACATAGCTCTACATACATACAGGCAATTGAGATACTCACCTAGCCCACAAAGACCAAGAGGTCGAGATGAGGGCTAGGACACGAAGTGCAAGTGCTAAGAGAGTCCGCGATACGGGCGCTTAAGCGCGGGAACAACCTTCCAATATAGTAACAGGCAGAGAAAAGGCAGAGAAATGGCGAAAAATAATACATAGGGCGAGTCCAGAGTCCTTTCCACAACACTAATTAGTTCAACTTAGACCTAATTAGCAAGTTGTGTTTTTCCTGATGCTGTGTATGCTTCACTTCGCAGGTCTGTCTCACGGTTTCTGGCAATGTGTGGTCGACACTGCGGTGCATATCTACAACCGTCAGCCAATGCGTCGTCTAAAATGGAAGTGCCCCATCACGGCATGGAACGGAGTCGTCCCAGACTGTTCCCACTTCCGCGTTTTCGGCTGCAAAGCAGTCGTACATGTGCAAAGGGACAAACGCGACAACAAAATCGAGCCTAAGGCACTCGAAGTTGTGTTTGTTGGTTACGAGGGTTCCAAGGGTTATCGTTTCTGGAACCGCTCTACCCGCTCCATCATGGTCTCTAGCAATGTGGACTTTGATGAGAACGTCTTCCCTGCACGTGAAAACCCCACCAGCCGTCGTCGTGTAACCCCCGACGATTCACCGTTCCCGGACATCCCTGAGGGAGAGCCTGACAACGAACCAGTCGAGCTCATACCTCCTCCTCCAACTCCTCCTCCGGAACCTGCTATGGTCCCACACCCTCCTCAAGCTCCACCCAATGCCGAGCCTGAACCAGAGCGCGAAGCTCCGCCACCGCCTCCTGTCGTACCAGGTGCACCGCCACGTGCTCCTAACCACCGTCGTAACCGTCATCCTACTGTCGAAGACATACCTGATGTCGATGCTGGTCCTCCACCACAACCTCAGCGCCCTCAGCGTCATGGTGCAGGACAGAATCCGCATCGCAACAGGGACAACTTCTACGGTGACGAACCGCCTGCACGCGTCGACGCCAGGACACGACGAGACGGACAGCTACGTACAGCTGAAGAGCGCGAGTACTTCGATCTGCTCAACACTATCATCAATCACGCTGCGCGCAAGAAAGGCATCCCTCAGTCCTACCGCGAAGCGCATAACTCTCCTATGAGTGATGAATGGTTCAAGGCTGAAGCTTCGGAGTACAACTCGTTGATGGAAAATCGAACCTGGGTGCTCGTACCTCGCCCCAAGGGTCGTAATGTCATCAGATGTCGTTGGGTGTATGACATCAAGCACGATGGTCGAGTAAAGGCTCGCCTCGTAGCTAAGGGCTATACGCAGAACTGGGGAGAAGACTACTTCGAGATTTTTTCGCCTGTATCAAGGAACGAGTCGACCCACTTCGCATTTGCGCACGCCACGCTCGAAGACTGGGATATCAACGCCATGGACGTCAAAACCGCGTTCCTCAACGGCGATCTCGACGAGGAGATCTACATGGAGCAGCCGGAAGGATGGGTTGAAGCTGGCAAAGAGGACTATGTCTGTCTGCTCAAGAAGGCCATCTATGGTCTGAAGCAAGCCTCTCGCCAGTGGAACCTCAAAATCCACGACTCGCTCATCAAATTGGGATTTGTCCGCACGTACTCAGATGCCGGAGTCTACGTTTATCGTCGACAAGGGGGTGTTCCAGGCGAAGTCACGCTGATTGTTCTATATGTCGACGATCTACTCGTCATGGGCAATTCACGCACGCGCATCGACTTCGTCAAGGACTCACTCAGCAAGCAGTACAAGATGACTGATCTAGGACCAGTGCAACGATTCCTCGGTACTCGCATACGTCGCGATCGCGTCAAACGCATCCTCGACATCGAGCAGGAAGAGTACATCGACGCCATCCTCGAGAAGTTTAGCATGTCTGACTGCAACGCTGCATCCACTCCTCTCCCCGCTGGTTGCGTTCTCGTCGCTCGACAGGATGAAGCACCTGCAACCCTTCGTCGGGAGTACCAGAGCCTCATCGGCAGCCTTCTTTATGCCATGCTTGGTACTCGTCCAGACATCTCCTACGCCATCACGCGTCTCTCCAAGTACAACGCCAATCCGTCTGAAGATCACATGCGTTACGTGTTACGTTGAAGTCCGAGTTCCGTCGGGAACGAGGCCTAGACGCCGAGTGGTTATGTCCGTGAGAAGTCTCTTGATGCCGACGCGAGTAAGCACGGTGCACTATCGAGTAGACCGGCGAGCGAGCGAGGTAGAAGGCAAGCAAGAGGGATGTATTGGCACTAGGCCAGAGGGACGTAGCTAGACAAGAGGTCGAAAGATGGGGAGCGCTATGCTGTGTCGTCCCTCTTATAAGTACAAAGGCCTTGAGGCCACGGTGCGTGAGAGGTGAGGTAACCATGCATGTACAACGAGTCAATACGAGTCAACACGGATCATGGTAACAGCGTGTAAGGGGGTGTGGTACCGCGAGGTTGCCATGAGGCGTGTGCATGTCCGAGGCGAGGCTGCGCAGCAGCATGAGGCGGGGGATAGGGGTGGTATTACAGTAGCCCCTGAGGGCGCGAGGCATAGTCCGTGACGGAGATGACGAGGGGTAAAAGCAAAAAAGGGTAGGCGTACGCATGGTGTCCGTAACATTACGCCCGCTACGTCCTTCGCTACCTCCGTGGTACCTCGCACTATCGTCTTCGTTACGATGGAAAGGATGGCGCCGGCATGATCGCGTACTCGGACTCGGACTGGGGAGAAGACCGCGACGACAGGAAGTCGACAACCGGCTTCATTTTCCTGATGGCAGGAGGTGCACTCTCCTGGGTCTCTCGCCGACAACGCACAGTATCCCTCTCCTCCACCGAAGGGGAATACATGTCCGCGTCAGACGCTTGCCGTCAGATGAAGTGGCTTCGCACTTTCGGCCATATACCTCAGTACGCCTATATATATACCGATACCTATTAGGTGTCGGGTCAATGGGCATGTGCCAATTCCTGGGGCATACGGGTAGGCGCGGGCCATGCGCGCACAGCGGACGCCTAGAAAAGACTTGCATCTGCCGAGATTAGAACCCCGGCCTAGCATAAACAAAGCGCAGCTCAGCTTTACAGCTGAGCTACGCGTCCTTACAAGGTTCCCCATATACGTTGCTATGGATTTACTGCACCCATGGACATATTATCAGATCTCCCATCAGTTTGTGTTATCTCTAGATCTCCCGCTTGCACCCACGTTATCTCCCACGCCCACGTCGCGCGCTTCCGACCCGCCCCCCGTGCTCGTTGTCCCCGACAGCGAGCTCGCTGTCCCGCCGCCCCGCTCTCCCCTCTCCTCCGTCTCCCTCCATTCTTTTTTGTATCCGCTTGTATTTAAAATGCGCACCTAATGGTATATAATGCAATACCCTCACTCAGTTGGGTGAGCCTGCATTGAGCCCTTATACCCCCAAAAATGCGTGCAACATAGGAACTTATACAACTGATCAATCGTCTGGCTATTATCTGCATCGGATAGTATTATGAGAACTCGTTTTTCATCTGAAATCGCAGGTGGATAGCTGGAAGGGTGCAGGTATGATGTCATATGTCATTTCAGGATGACATATTCCACAGTGATATGGTATATACATTTATCGTCATATGGACACCTAGAATCATACATAGAGATCAATCAGAGCGCATATCACAAAGAAGCAGATGAAACGACGATGTTTTGGCGATGATATGACATGTGCTCAGAAGGGAGGACTACATTGAAAATGCGGCCTTCATATGTTCTTGTGCAGACGTCCAATCATTGTACCATTTGCTTCATTGCGTTCCCACACATTTATAGAGCTCAGATCGTCAGTTTCATGCTTATCGGTGGAGGATTGAAGATAAGGTATGGTATGTCATTATTCTATGACATAGTGTATAGCAAGATGACATGTGCTCCGATTACTTTTCTGAAAAGCGGAATAGAACATGGTAGTCTTCTCCTACACGATGCAGAAGTAATCTCGAAAAACGGCCGAGAAACGGCGGAGATATGTTAGAGGAGCCTAGTATGGCAGGTTGTGCAGAGGACGCTCTTGAACCACCCACACCACTTGGCACACTCTGAGCTCCTATGGCATGTCTCCGCCGTTTCTCGGCCGTTTTTCGAGATTACTTCTGCATCGTGTAGGAGAAGACTACCATGTTCTATTCCGCTTTTCAGAAAAGTAATCGGAGCACATGTCATCTTGCTATACACTATGTCATAGAATAATGACATACCATACCTTATCTTCAATCCTCCACCGATAAGCATGAAACTGACGATCTGAGCTCTATAAATGTGTGGGAACGCAATGAAGCAAATGGTACAATGATTGGACGTCTGCACAAGAACATATGAAGGCCGCATTTTCAATGTAGTCCTCCCTTCTGAGCACATGTCATATCATCGCCAAAACATCGTCGTTTCATCTGCTTCTTTGTGATATGCGCTCTGATTGATCTCTATGTATGATTCTAGGTGTCCATATGACGATAAATGTATATACCATATCACTGTGGAATATGTCATCCTGAAATGACATATGACATCATACCTGCACCCTTCCAGCTATCCACCTGCGATTTCAGATGAAAAACGAGTTCTCATAATACTATCCGATGCAGATAATAGCCAGACGATTGATCAGTTGTATAAGTTCCTATGTTGCACGCATTTTTGGGGGTATAAGGGCTCAATGCAGGCTCACCCAACTGAGTGAGGGTATTGCATTATATACCATTAGGTGCGCATTTTAAATACAAGCGGATACAAAAAAGAATGGAGGGAGACGGAGGAGAGGGGAGAGCGGGGCGGCGGGACAGCGAGCTCGCTGTCGGGGACAACAAGCACGGGGGGCGGAGCGGGGAGGCGCCGGCGAAGACGCGGCGGCGCGGAGCGTCCGGAGATATCGGGGCCATCAAGGCGGCGCAGCGGCGCGGGGGAAGGCGCTGACTGGCGCGGCTATCAGAGATAGGCGCTGGTGTTTGCCACACGGCGTAATTGGCAGATGCACAATCAGTACCAAGATAAGCGCCATCCAGGAGCGTTTTGTGCAAGTGCGAAAAACAAGCCCTCTGTGAGGACTTACAAGTGTTCATACCTACCATTTGATGAGGCTATAGCACATCAAGTTTGAGCACTATGAACAGTCTGATGGTGCAGTTGGTGGAGTGGCAAGTACATCCCGGATGCCCGTGTTCGAAACAGATTAAATGCAGTTTGAGTTTTGCCGGGCGCTTCGCGCGTGGCGGCCTGCGGCCTATCTCGTCACGTGGTGGTTTCTTTGCGCGCGGATATATGGCACATGCCAATTGATCTGACACCTAATAGGTGTCATTATATACTCTAGCGTACTGAGGTCCCTCCTTTCGGCCGTGAAGTTGGTGACGATATGTTGAGTCCTACGCCGCTCTGCATGGACAACCAGGGATCAATTTTCCTCTCTGAAAACCCTGCTGTTGACCGTCGCACGAAGCACATCGACATCCGCTACCACTTCATTCGCGAATACATCGAGGAAGGCGAAGTTACTCTCTTTCACGTTCCTTCTGCGGAGCAGCTAGTGGACTCGCTTACGAAGTCAGTTCCTCTTTCGATACTCAAGTACTTCTGCGAGCACGTTGGTTTAGTTTCATCCGCGTCTTGAACGAGGGGGTGTGTTGAACATTGGATATCGAACATACGTACATTAGGACAGTTTACGCATCCACATGGACTCTGTGAGATACTTCCCATAGTTCCATATGTCACTTCACTGCCTTGTAGTTCCTTATCTCTTCCATTCCGTTCTTCTACGCTTCTCTCTTTGTTCCCTTGTTCCACTTACGGACTTTCTTTGTCTTGAGCGCACAGCCCGTACAGCCCTGTAACCATCTTCTGTCCGGTCTGACCTCTGCGCCATATATGTCTTCCCATCACTGCTTACGTATGCTACTCCTGGACAGTATATAGGGAGGGCTCTGGCTCGCACTGCTCTTCAGTCGTTCTATCACTAACTGAGGAGTAAGTACCTACACTCTATGCGCTCCCTTATACACATGCTTACTGTATCTGTAGTCGCTCCTCTTCGTGTGCTTACAGGTACTACTTATGCCCTCAATATAGTCGTTCTATCACTGACTGAGGATCGCTCCTCTTCGTGTGCTTACAGTCGGTCCCTTGCCTTACTCAGAGTTCATCAGGGGGCTCACACTACATGAACTACAAATGCATAATTCCTCTTGGTTATGGAAATTCAGTACAACAGGACAACTAGTAATACAGTGGTTCAAAGGCGACGTGCGGATGGGGATGCGGTAGTACGAGCTCAGAACAAAAAGGTAAATATCATGAGCTCTTTGGGAGAGTATCCCGAACGAACGTCCCGGAAGGCCGCCATTGGTCCGTACTTCTCCGGGTTCGCTTCGTACTCCTCCCAATCTGTGAACAACGGCCGCCACACCCACGCCTTCTCCCTGCGCTGAAAAGTTCCTGGGAGAGCTAGCCCCGCGTCCGCCGAGATCTCCCTCCGGAAGCACGGTCCCTCGTTCAAGCTCGTGATGCACAAGCGCGTGAGGTCCTCCATCGCTGTGCGCGCCTGGTCGAACCCTCCCTCGCCCTCCGAGCTCGGCCAGACGCGCGGGACGCCGAGGCGCATGAACGAGCGCATCAGCGACTGCGACTCGCCCTCGACGAAGAAGCACGTGGAGACGATGAGCACCTGGTCCGGCGCCGGCGGGCCCTCCGCGCCGTACATCGCGTACGCCACGTCCGCGCGGGCGAGGTCCCCCCGCTCCCCGGCGCGGAACTCGCGCAGGGCGCGGAGCATCCGCGGCGCCTCCCCCGCGGGCAGGGCCTTGATCTTCTTCTCCGGCTGCGACCGCGCGCCGGGCGCGAGGTCGACCGTGTCGATCCCGAGGAGCTTGAACGCGCGCACGGGGTTCCCGCGGCGCGCGCCGGGCGCGGGCGGGTTGTGCGCGAGCAGGAAGCGGATGAGACTCGTCTCGAGGTGGCGACCGTAGTCCTGGCCGTAGGTGAGGAGAGCGACGGCGCCAGCCGCGGCGCCGAGTGCCCACTCGTGAGCCTCGGTGAAGGAGCGGAGGCGGTCGAGGAGGCTGTTGTTGGGATCCCGGCCGGGCGCTGCGGCGGGCTGGGCGAGAGGGCCATTGTTACAGCCGATCCTGCAAAACGATAACGGTTAGTGCGGTTGTAAAAAGTGATTTATATACGGATTCGCACTTATGTGTGAGCCAGTGCAGCTTCTGGCACTCCTTGGAGCAGTAGAGAGGCTTCGCGATGCAGCGGCCGGCGCAGCGGCGCAGTTGCTCGCCCAGTTTTGGTGGCATTTTGCAAAAGTCGCAGCGTTTGAGTGGATCGAGCGGCTTTGAGGGAGATGATGAGGGTGCCATTTAATTGTTCCTGATAGATAGAACTGCCACAAGAGGGCGATGGAGGTGGTGGTGGGAGGAGAAGGAGCCAGGCTGGGCCCGCGGAGTCCCTTGTGCAGTCGTCGAAGGCGCCTACGCGCGGGTTCGGCCCGTTAATCCGCGGTCGCTCCTCGCGATCCTTAAACTCCTGCCATAGTGCTTTCACACCCCGGGCCGGAAAATCGCCCCAGAAGAAGGCTTGGTATCAATTGTGACAACTGGTATAACATGCAATACAACAGGTGACTAGTAGTACAATCATGCGAGGCGAGGTGCGTATCGAGATACTGGAGGTGCTCAGAACAAAAAAGTAAATATCATGAGCTCTTTGGGAGAATAGCCTGAACGGATGTCCTTGAAGGCCGCCATAGGTCCGTACTTCCTCGGGTTCGCTTCGTACTCCTCCCAATCCTTGAACAACGGCCACCACACCCACTCCTTCTTCACGCGCTCGAACTTGCCGGGGAGGGCCAGTCCCGCGTTCGCCGAGAGCTCTCTCCGGAAGCCTGGCCCCTCGTTTACGCTCGTCATGCACAAGCGCACGAGGTCTTCCATCGCGGTGCCCGCCTGGTCGGGCCCGCTGCCGCTGCCGCGCCCCGAGCCCGAGCGTGGCCAGACCCGCGGGAGGCCACGGACGTACGAGTGCATCACGAACTGCGTCTCGCCGTTGACGGTGAAGCACCCGGTCCGCGGGCGGCGATTGGCCGTACACCGCGTTCGTCTCGATCTCCTGTCGCACGTCCTCCTTCTCCGCGACGCGGAACTCGCGCAGGACGCGGAGCATACGCGGCGCCTCAGCCCCGGGAAGCGCATGTATCTTCCTCTCGGGCTGGGACCGCGCGCCGGGTGCGACGTCGAGGACGCCGATCCCGAGCATCTTGAACGCGCGCACGGGGTCCCGGCGTGTCCCGGGAGCGGGCGGGACGTTGGCGAGGGTGAATTCGACCATGCTCGTCTCAAGGTGGCGGCCGTAGTCCTGGCCGTAGGCGAGGAGCGCGACGGCACCGGCTGCGGCGCCTAGAGCCCATTCGTGCGCGTCCATGAAGGTGCGCAGGCGGGTGACGAGGCTGTTGTCAACCTCTTCGCCAGGCGCTGCAGGCTGGGCCAGAGGGCCGTTGTTGCAGCCGACTCTGCAAACCAATGACAGTCAGTGAAGTCATCTAGAAGATACATGTGAAAACGTTGCACTTGTGCATGGGCCAATGGGCCTTCTGGCACTCCTTGGAGCAGTAGAATGGCTTAACACGGCAGCAGCCGGCGCAGCGGCGCAGTGGTTTGTCGGGCTTGGGCGGCTTTTTGCAGAAGTCGCAGCGCCTGAGGGGGTCGACGGTCTTTGAAGGGGATGGAGCCGGTGAGCGCGATATCATTCTTGTGGTTCGGACGAACAATATCCGCCGAGTGGCGATGGAGGTGGTGGGAGGAAGAAAGGTACGTATGATACGCGTACGTACGGCGCCCAACGTCCGAAGCGAAGCTCCGGCCCAAACCGGAGCATCGAGCTCCCACGGCCAGCGCTTCCCCTTGGGCGGCTCCTCTTCACCACCAAGCGGCCAACGCTATGTAAATACCTTCAAGTGCCTGCGACATCCACCAGCACGACTCTGCTAGTCCATCATGAGCCACATTTCCTGTTCCCCAAGCCGGCGCGCCGTTCCCCGCAACACAGACCCGATCCGAGTCTCCCCTCGCCGCGGTCCTTGCACCTTCACCACCACGTCCTCGAGGGTAGGTGTCACCGCCGCCATCCCTTGCGCGAGCCTCTCCACGTCGATCTCCAACGTCGACGCTTCTGCTTCAGTGAGCGGGAGCGGGCCCTCGGGGAACGGTGCGGGGTGCCGCAGCACGTACCGCACGCGCGGCATATCTCGCTCGTCCAGGTAGATGTCCTCTTCCGCGCCCGGGTGTCCGCTGGAGACTTCCTCGAGGACCTCCTCCCCCGAAACGCCCTCCAGAAAGGCCTTCTCCGGGCTCAGCCCTGCCGTGCGTATGTCCAGCTCGAGCGTCTGCAGACGGCGGAGCGCGCCGATGACCAGCGCGAGTTGCATCTGCAGCCGGTGTGTGAGTGCCAGTCTGACCGGGCGCAGGACGCGAGACGCACCACGAGCGCCCCGTTGTCATACAGCTCCGTCGTCAAGTGGAGCGTGCACGAGAGCGACCGGAGGTCCGCGCAACCGGGCTCCCTGAGGGAATCGATGAGCCCCCCGCCGAGCAGGTCGTCGCTGAGCTCGATGCGGAGGTGCAGCGGCCGATGCCGCATGAGCACCGCATGAAGCATGATCGAAGAGTAGTTCCTGGTGCGCTGCGAGAGCTCGATGCGCGGGATATGGCCGCGGATGCAGAGGGCGTGCAGCTCGCTCACGTCGCCACTGAAGAGCTCCAGGCCGGGCCACGTCCGCTCCGAGCCCACTTGCGCCATGAGGTTGCGGCGTCGTTCGGCCAGAATCTCATCGTAGAGGTATGTGTCGCTCCTTTCGGGGCACTGCAGGACTTGGAGGTTTGGATACGCGCGCGCGAGCTGCACGAGGTCGAGGTCGCCACAGTCCTTGATGAAGAGCCGGCGTACGTTGGGATAGATGTAGAGATCGGCAGGCTCGTATCTGAAGCCTAACCAATGGTCGCAGTGAATGGACTCCAGGGTGTGTTGGTGGCGTGCGAGGAGGGTGATCGGGTTCCAGCTCCCCAGCTCTGCGTCATCCTCTTCCGTTTCAGCCAGGAGGTCTGCGTTTGTATCCCGATCGCCGCAGAGCACAATGTGGGAAAGAGTCGATAGAACGTTCTCGACGAACTCGTACGCGCACGAGCATCCGTGGTGTATCTCCAGGCGGTGCAAGGAAGGGAGCTGGGCCATGGCGTCACCGAGGATTCCCAGCTCAATCAAGGTGAACTCTGCCTCTGGCAGATTGAGAGTGCGGAGATTGGTGCAGCGGGAGAAAGCCATGGCCCAGGCATTGATGTTTCCCTCCTCGTTTTGGGGGGCGCCGAAAATCGCGAATGTGAGGTGGAGGAGGAAGCGGCAACGGGTCCAGTTTTGCGCGGCGAGGAAATGCAGGAACGGCACGGCGTGTCCCTCCCAGGACTTGAGGGAGATCGGTTTCCGAAGCGCCGCCTTCGCACCTTCATGGTAGAAAAACTTGTTCATAGGCACGAAGGCGCGAACGATGACCTCCGGTTGGTCGATCATATTCATGACATTGACGAGAATGTCATCGTTCAACCTGACTCCAGGCCAGACGGTGGTTGCCATCTCGACGTCTATAAGTTGTCCGAGGGGAATCAGTGTTTGAGCACGGGATCCAGTGGAGAAAGACTAGCACATACTTCTGTGTTTTGGCTGGTGGCCTTAACGAACTGGCAGAGACGTAGCAATCTCGCGGTCGAGGCTCGCGCGACGCAGTAAAAGCCACTGGTACCTGGCCGTGGTTGCTGACTAACAGAATAGGCGATACCGTTCACCCGCCAGCGCCCAGGCCTCAACGTTTCAACGTCAACGTCCAGTTCAGCTAGTGCCTGTGGTTTGCAAATCAATCGAACCAGTTCGTTACTGTGGAAAGTAGCATTTATTGCAACCGCGACATTGTACTTGAACAGGATCCGAAGGATAAGCAGTGAAAGTCAGGACAGTTGGCTAACCAATATTCGTAACAACGGGCTCTCATCTTGCAAGTGCTTGTTCATGCCACAAACCTTCGGGGTAACAACTAGCGGCTTTGTAGGGCCTGAGCAGCCTGGAAGTAGCGCGCCACTTCTAGTTCGAGTCAAAGCAGCTTCTGTTGGCAACAAAAATGACGACGTCGGACTGCACTTGATCGTACCGGCGCGATTAAGCTTTCAGTAAGGCTACGCACACGCAGACAGACCGACCCGTCTATGGGGTGCATGCTCGGCCCGCGTTTCTGCACCAATAGATTTGAGGGTGCTTTTGGGCTGATCAGCACTGAGCACGAGCGCGAGAGCTGCAATGGAAAGCACACCTGCAGTCTCAAATCGACACGCTAGCTTTCATCCATCTCATCCTCACGGAAAATGATGGGCTCCGTAGATATCGCTTGTTTGTTGCCCTTCTGCCTTCCGCCTCCGGAGGGTGCACTCTTGCCGCGTCCGGTATTCTTCTTCCTGCCACTTCCACGAGCGGCACCTGCGACAGGCTCGTCCACTCCATCTCCGATCTTGATCACGACACTCACGGTGGACTTGCTGCGCGTGCGATAAGACATATCTTCGTCGTCGTCCACTGGAATGAGTTCGTCCTGCAGTTCGACGGTTCCGGTCAGGACTTCGGTATGGACCTCGTCGCGCGGGTAGGGAAGTATCTCGGGGAGCGAGAGCGCCAGCTGCATGAGATGCGGTATGGCAGCCCCCATCGCGCTGAGGTGCAGCGTCTTGTGGCTGTATGCGCGCGCACTCAGCCGTCTACTCGCACGGGGAGAGCCACAGGACACTCACCCATCCTTGAGAAACACATCCTTACAGCGCCGTAGATACGCGCCGAGCTCCGTCCGACGCGTGATGCAGATATAGTTCTTGCCCTCCGTATGCGCCGAGCGCGGTCCCGTCGCGGACACTGAGGCGGGCACGGTGGGGAATGGTCTCGGGGGTACGAGCTTGCGCACCCTGTGCTTGTCTTTCTTGTCTGAAGGCGGGATAGACGGCACGCCCTTCTGCTTCTGCTTCTTGGATTTGGATGACCCTTCGTCGCCCCGCTTGGCCGCCGCCGGCATAGGAGCAGAGGGGCCCGCGACGGGTGGCGCGGCGGGCTGGGTGCGCTGGTCGTCGTTGGGCTGTGACGTCCCGCGCGACGTCGACTTGAGTCGTTTTGATGAGCCGGTGCTCGCGGAGTCAGTGACAGAGTCAGCCTTGCGCTTCGCCATGCACGGCTCCGGTGGGGCCCTCGACGGGGGCGGCGACGAGCAGGGGACGCGGGGAATTTGGGTCAAAGGAGGGGTTGTCGCTCGAAACTCGAAGATGCAGGGCGGATCGGGAGCCGGATCGGGAGATATCGCCCGTTCCAGGGCGATAAGTCTAATGAGGCGCGCCTGCCACATCCTCAAATTTTGGCAAACAGCGGGCGGGACCTCCCGTCCTCCGCCCGTCTCGCGCCCCCTCCGCTCCTCGCCGTCCTTTCTCTCTCTCTATCCCCCACCACCCTTGTACAAAAGCTCCCCCGCGTCGTCGTCAAAATGAGCCAGGATCCCGCGGAGCAAAACATTCAGATGTGGAAGGTCAAGAAGCTCATCAAGAGCCTCGACGCCGCCAGAGGGTACGCCTGCCGTCCATCTGCCCCACGAACTCGCGCTCATCGTGCGATCCAGAGCTGGCACTTCCATGATCTCCCTCATCATCCCTCCAAAGGCACGTCCGATTCGCTGGGATCACTCTCCGATCGCCTAACCCGCAAGCACAGGACCAAATCTCCCGGGTCTCCGCCATGCTGACGCAGGAGTACGGAACGGCGTCGAACATCAAGTCTCGCGTCAACAGGCTGTCTGTGCTCGCTGCCATCACATCGACCCAGCAGCGCCTCAAGCTTTACAACCGTGTCCCTCCGAACGGTCTCGTGCTGTTCGTCGGAACGATCCTCACGGACGAAGGCAAGGAGAAGAAGGTCTCCTTCGATTTCGAGCCCCACAAACCCATCAATACGTATGTCATATCCCTCTTCCCCTGATGCATATATCGATCTGTGTGTCTCCAGTTCCTTGTACCTGTGCGACAACAAGTTCCACACCGAAGCTCTGCAGGAACTCTTGGAGTCCGACTCCAAGTTCGGCTTCATTGTAATGGACGGAAACGGCACTCTCTTCGGTACCGTCGCCGGAAACACGCGCGAGGTCATCCACAAGTTCACTGTCGACCTTCCCAAGAAGCATGGCCGCGGTGGTCAGTCCGCCCTTCGTTTCGCCCGTCTGCGTGACGAGAAGCGGCATAATTACGTCCGCAAAGTCGCCGAACTGGCCGTTCAGCACTACATCACGAACGACAAGGTCAACGTCACTGGTATCGTCCTCGCGGGTAGCGCCGACTTCAAGACGGAGCTTGGTCAGAGTGATATGTTCGACCCGCGTCTAGGGGCAAAGGTCATCAAGGTGGTGGACGTGAGCTACGGTGGCGAGAATGGTTTCAACCAGGTGCGTCATATGCGCTGGTGATGTTGCGCTCAAGGTTCCTGAACGCATGTGGTCCTTGTAGGCTATCGAGCTGGCTGCCGAGGCGCTCTCGAACGTTAAGTTCGTCCAGGAGAAGAAGCTTATCCAGAAGTACTTCGATGAGATCAGCCAGGACACCGGAAAGTACTGTTTCGGTATTGAAGACACGCTCAAGGCACTGGAGCTCGGTTCCGTCGAGACCCTCATCGTTTGGGAGAACCTCGACATCACGCGCTACCTGCTCCGGAATGCTGCCGGAGGTACGTAATCTCTCCGTTTTCACTATCTTAAACTAAATCCGCTCGCCTTGCGCGCGTATATTTCTAGAGGAGATCGTCGTGTTCGCGAACAAGGAGCAGGAGAAGGACAGGGAGCGGTTCATGGACAAGTCGACCGGGCTCGAGATGGAGAAGACCGAGGACCCACAGTCGCTGCTCGAGTGGTTCGCGGAGAAATACAAGGATTTCGGCGCGAACCTCGAGTTCGTCACCAACCGCTCCCAGGAGGGTGCCCAGTTCGTCAAGGGCTTTGGCGGCATTGGCGGCCTCCTTCGCTACAAGGTCGACTTCACGAACCTCCAGACCGTGGACGACGATGACGAGGACGAGTTCATGTCGGACGACGAGGACCTCTGACTAACCTGGAGGCTCCTCGTCGGAGCCCCTCTCGGCTTGGGCACGCCGAGTGGAGCGGTGGGTAGGGCGGTGGTGGAGGTGCGCGTCCGGCCGGTGGGACCAGAGGAGGCAAACGCGGCGCAGGCGGGTCCGGTCGTAGTGGGGGCGGGGTCGCACGGCTGTGTCCCGCTTTCCAGTTCGTCCCTCGATCAAGATGATGCACGCAAGTCAGTCCAGGAAGGAACCGTTTTGATTCCGTCGGCGTTGTCCCGCCCGCCGAACGGAGTTGGCGCAGTTGATGTTCCTTGCGCAGCTGAACAAAGCGTCTTTGTAACGAGTCGTCTCCCATACGACAAGGTGCATTTTACTCTTCTCTTTTCCCGCCATATCAGGCTGATATGCTACACAGATCTCGCACTCGACCATATCGTGTATTTGTCCTGACGCTTTTGTTCTCATATTGCCTGCTGTCATCGCTATCTGAACGTCCTGCTGTAGCTTTCAGAGTGTTGGTTAATGAAAACGCAAACGTATGCTCGAGTCATGATCATTGACGAAGTGATAACATTGAGGCAGACCAGAAAAGCGAATCAAGCTATATTATGTATTCCAGCGCGGTCTATTTAACCTCTTCGAACAGTTCCCAACAGCCCTCCCTGCCATGCTATGACAACTTTACAGAATACTGCGAAGCTCCTCTTCGACCGTGCGCCACTTCCACAGGCTCTGTCCTGGGTTCACGAGCTCGTTCTGGTTGTTCTCCGAGTAGTCGATGTTGCCCTGGCCGACCAGCACCCTGCGGCACGCATAAGCACACGACACACGAGCGCGACGACGTCGTGAGGCTCACCGCGCATAGTCGACGATGTCCATCAGCGTCGGCGGCTGGTTCTCGCGCAGGCGCTGCTTGACCGCCGCGACGTCGCCCACCTCGATCGGACCCTTCTCGACGCCCTTGACGCGCGCGACGGCGTCGCGGATCTCCGCCACGCTCACGTTGTCCCCGTACACGTGCACGACCGCGGGGACGTCGTCGCGCGTCGCGGGGTCGAGCGCGAGGAGCGCGAGGCGCGCGACGGCGCGCGCGATGTCCGGGAGCGCGGTCGCCGCGAAGCGCGTGTGGGGGTCGCCGAGCGCGGTGAACGTGTTCGCGTGGACGTTGGCGCAGAGGGAGCGGTAGGGGTCGAGGAGCCAGGAGAGGAAGGCGCCGTTGAAGACAGTGACGGCCTTGAGCGGGGTGGCGGCGCCGGCGGAGAGCGCGGCGGTCTCGCGCGCGAGGGCGGTCTTGTTGATCCACTCGGTGTGCATGAAGCCTTCGAAGCCGCCGAGGGTGTAGTCCCTGGGAACCACGTTAGTGGAGAAACGAGGGAGAGGGAGGGGAGGGGAGGACGTACGACGCGAAGTCGCTCGGGAAGTAGACCGGCACGCCGTGCTTGACCATCGCGGTGACGAGGGCTTTGTTGATCTCAAGGCAGGCGGCGGTCGGGAGCACGTTGACGACGACGGTCGCACCCGCGACCACGTCGTCCATGGGCTCGGTGATCGCGTGGACCTCGGCGCCCATGGCAGCGAGCTCCTTTGCCTTCGCCGAGGCGGGGTCGCGCGTAGTGATCCGGACGGTGGGGAAGTGGTCACGGTACTCCGTGAGGAAGATTTTGGTAACGTGCGCCCCTAGGGTCAGGACAGTCAGGATCGATCCTTGTACGGGAGGAAAGGAATGTGAAGTGACCTAGATCGCCAGTCCCGCCCAGGATGACGGCCGTAGCTTTGATGTTGTTCGCCGGAGACATGGTGTAGGTTGAGATGCCCTGCTGGGTGGGCGTCCTTCGTGTTTATATACCCTCTTCATTCTGTTCCAGGGCGCGGAAGTCCTGTGGAGTGAACGTCAGATTCGACGGACGGTCGATAATATGACCCACATCCATCGAGTGGTATTCATCCAATTGGCACCTCTGCTGACTGGCGTCTGCGGCCTTGGAAGTGGCATCCCTTCATCCGTGAAGAGAGACCAGTGTCGAGGCCCTCAGGCTAAATAGTAAATACCAAGTGTACCACCATCTTTTCGGACTTTCGGAGGACTCGGTGGGTCAGGCGGCGCTTGGACCCACATGATGCATGACCCTCGATCAATAGCGACCCACTTCAACTGCGAGAGGTGGGTTCATCAACGACGTAGAGAGGCGGTAAACGTACTGACTGGAACGGCGCCCACACTCTGATGGATCCAATAGCGAGCGCACTCACCGTGGGTGTAATCTGATTCATTCCATGACGACAAAGTACATATGTTAGAATTCTACCCGCTATCGTGGTCTGAATGCTCACAGTTTTATGACGTTGTAAAGAGGCTCGTACACATCGGATCGAATGTGCCGAAACGTCCGTGCACAGGAGCACAGCGATCATTGAATGCAGCTATCGCACGTCGTAAACGATCTCGACATCCGCCTCCTTCAAATGATTCGCCCATCCCGGGAACATGGCCCTCATCCAGAGGACAACGACATCTCCGGGGCGTAGCGCGTCGACGAAACCTCCACCGCCTCCGTGCCCTTCCGCATCCACCACTCCAGGGTCCAGCGTTTTGCCGGGAAGCCACTCGAAGGTGTACCGCGAAAACCACCTTTCGCAACACGGTTGTTCTGCACCCGCCAGGTGACGCAGCCCGAGGAGTTCGGCACGAGCTCCCATCCAACTCGGTCGTCCCGGAGGGCCTTCTGAACGTCCTCTGTGGTGCGATGGAGGGGGTGCTCGTGGAGCCACTCGTGCAGGTCCAGAGCGGCGTCGAGTCTGGATGCTTCGTCGAGAGAGTGTCCAGTAGGACGCAGGATGCAGGCCTCGTACCACGACCACGCGCCGTCAAAAGTCCCTGCAGTCGCTCAGCGCGCCACACTTTTATAGTGAACATGCCGCGACGCACCCGGGTGGTCCCCGCCCCATCCCTGATCCCGTCCTTCGATGGTCCACGCGACCCTCAACATCCGCCAGTTCTCGTCTTCACGCGATCCGGGGATGGGAGGAGACTGGAGGATGGCGCACGCGGAGCAGTAGTCGGAGGGATCGAATTTGTTAGCGGGGAGAGCGAAGGGCGGGTCGAGCGGGCCGTTCCCGTCGCCGATGCGCGGGTGGTAATCGGCGAGGTCCATGATGTCAAGGACGAGCTCGGTGGGCAGGCCTAGGTGGAAGAGCATCGCGCGGACGATGCGGGTCGGCTCCGCGGGGTCATCGTAGTACTGCTCATCGTCGTCGTGGGAGCTGGAAGTGGGTTGTGATAAGTTTCCCCCCATGGGCACGATAGTTCGTCTTGGAATGTTGTGGGTTGATGTGGGCAGCCTGAGGTGCGAAGCTTTGAAGACTAGGTGAGGTTTGTTGTGACGGAACGACAGGGCTCTGTGTCGGTGTGCGAAGAGGGAAGCCAAGCCAAGCCAAGCCAAGCAAGAAACAGTACTAGTACGGAATCATAACACTTATGCACTAAGCGGGTGGTAATTGCTGCAATAATCGCCCTTGTAGTCCCGGACTAACAGGGTAAGTAGAGTTCTAATGCATGACATCACATACTTATCAGGCGCCGCTTCAGCACTTGTGGGCGCTTCGGCTTGCACTCCGGTCTCTCTCTCAAAGCACCATCCCGTATCTCTGGTCCTACACATCAGCTTCGTTGGCACTCTCCGTTCAACCCACTCAGGTGTGATGGGGCGAACACTTTTCATTTTTGGAAGACCTCCACGTGGCTGCTGGAACGACACGCGAGGCGGCGCTCGAGGGGTGGCGATCACCACCACTGGGAGTGTTGTCGGCCAGCTCGTACACAACGGAGCTTGGAACGGCCTCGTGCGGGGCAGAACGCGCTCGCAAGGTGAGAGTGATGCGTGGAGGATGTCATTACACCTAAAAGGGATGGATCCAAAGGCGGTTTACACCAGCGGTACGGTTCTGGTCGGAGTTTGCGTGCGCACTGACGTCTATGCAATGTGCTTTCTCCGGTGCACGCCACATCATTCCAAGCCCATCAGTATGCGTGGAGCTGCCGGCTTTCTGTACATCCGAGTGGGCCCTTAGGTCCACCACAACCGCCCGAAGCAGGGCAAGCTCCAATCGCTCCACCTCACAAACGCCGTACGTGCTTCGCTTGCGACTCCATCGGGTTTTCACAAGTAGTATAAGTACATGGTGTGCGTGTTGGGAACCTTCCATCATCCCCTGCTACGCACTGCAACTCGTCATGAAGTTTTTCTCTCTGGCTTCAGTATCCACCCTTGCCTCTATTGCGTTCGCAACTCCCAATCCCCTTCCGGGAAGCGGTGCGTACTACTGCGGATACTCGCCCCTTCGTCGAGCTTATGTCAAGTTTTCAGCCAACATCACTTTGCGTGATCCCGCGGTCATATACAACAACGCCTCACAGACGTACTTCGTCTTCTCCACAGGCAAGAACATCAAGATATACACAAGCCCATCTCTGAAAGGGTGAGTGTTGAATGTCGCCGCGACCCATCTATACTTCGTTCTGATCCTGCGTCAGCCCGTGGTCGTCCGCCGGAGAAGTGCTCACAAACGGCTCCATGATTCCGGTACCAAGTAATGCGGGCGCATGGGCTCCGGACGTAAGCAGGGTAAACGACGAGTTCGTCCTATATTACGCCGTCAGCACTGGAGGTCGTAGAAATTCGACAATTGGGGTCACTACAAGCCCGAACATGGAATCTGGCTCTTGGACAGACCACGGAAAGGTCATCCAGACGAAGGAGAGCGACACATTTAATGCCAGTGAGTCGACCGCGATACACCCTGATACACCCCGGCCTTCTGACAACTGGCATGCGTGTTAGTCGACGCCAATCTGATCGACGCCGACGGACTAAAGCTGCTGTTCGGATCTTACGGTGACGGCATCTTCCAGCTACAGATGTCTGATATCTCAACTACATTAACTGTATGCCATGTCTACTTCCCCGCCGCTACTCGAACTGACATGAGAGCCGTAGCCTCTCCCGGGAAACCACCTCGCAGGCGGCGACAAAATGCCCGACGAGGGTGGTTTCACGTACAAACCTAAGAACTCGAGCTTCTTCTACACGTTCTTCTCGAATGGTGTTACCCCTCTGCAAGGTGTAAGTCAGGCCAAACCTCGTCTCAGTGTGGTGTCGGCCGACAGATATTCACAGGCAACGGAACGCCCGCCCCCGGGCCAGGAGTACAAAGTACTCGTCGGCCGCAGCGAGAATGTCGCGGGGCCATATGTCGACAAGAGCGGCCTCAACCTCACAAGCCCCCCGGCGGGCACGCTCGTCCTCGGTTCGCACGACACCGTTTATGCGCCTGGCGGTCAGAGCGTGTACCTTGACCCGGTGAGCGGCCGGGACATCATGGTGTATCACTACGTCATGAACGACTCGTTTGGAGGCCCGTCTTACCTCGGGGTCAACTTCCTCGACTTTTCGTCCGGATGGCCCGAGGTCGTCGAAGAGTAGGGAAGATTGATTCACGCCGTTCCACAGATGGAAGCCGACCTCCAGTCTCGGCTTGAGCTTATTGATATTCTCTGACACCCTGGCACCGTCTGCTGTCCATATCATCCAAGGACGACCACTTCACATGGCACGTGGCTCGTCCTCGACCGTGCTCCACTTCCACAGGCCTTGCCCGGGGCTGACGAGCTCGTTGTAGTTGTCAGAAGAGACTTCCAGACCGCCCCGGCCCACGAGCACGCTGTGAAGCGATCCCGTCGTCAACGACTTGAACTCCAAACTGGCCACACCTCCCAAAAACGTTAACGTCCGCCCACCGCGCACAGTGCGCCATGTCCACTGGGCACCCCTCCGTCAATCGTGAGCGGCGCGATGTCCGGCACCGCCGTGCCACACCGCGAAGCGCGTCGCAGGGTTCTATTCGTGCGAGGCATGCGCGTTCGACGCCGTTCTATTGCGTTTATGAGGCCACGAGGCCCATTCATACGGTATGCCACAAATGAAGTTTGGGCGAGATCGAGGAGGACCACAGTACATACCAAAGCACCGCCTCCCGAACGTCCGCTGCGCACCGTACGCGCACGCCGAGGCAGCGGCGAATATGAATGGCTGTCCAGGGTCCGACTCGCCTTCCTTCATGGTTGACGCATGGTCCGCCGCCCTTCTTCAGCGCGGGCTTCGGAGGCTTCCTAAGGCATTGACGTCGGCGCGCTTCGCCCCTCGGGGAGCACGGGCGCGATGCGGCTGGGCGGGTGGCATGGTCTGGTCTGGGTGGTGCATTGTTGTAGACGTGTGGTAGTCGCATTGCGCTTCATGATGGCGCGCGCGTCCCGCGCTGCTGGGTGGCGGGGATGTTCGCGAGGATGTTACTGCATGCGGAAGCGTGCCACCGGCAGCGAGGTGTGGCTGGGATGTCGACATGGTTGCGAGCGAGGGGATGAACACGCGGTGAGTGCGTTCCCGCGAGTCCTGCAAGAAGAAGAACGTCAGAGTGGTGGTTCTTTCATGAACGAAGGCGTGCCTGCAGTAGCTTGTTTCACACCTGGATGTCATTGCGGTGCTCTCAAATGCCCAGCGCCGTGCGCGCGAGAAAGGCCACCCGAGTCGACCTCCCAATTATGGTCACACGACAGCCGCGCGCCCCGACGCGACCTTGGAAGCGATGCCGCTTTGCCGTCACAGGCCCTCGCGTCTTCTCCCGTCAGCCGCGAAGCCCTGTAAGAGCCTGGGGTAAGCATTAACGAACTTCATAGAAGGTTCGGGTGAACCATGCACTCACTCCGTGCGTACGGCCCCGCCCTGGGCCACACCTTCCCCTCACGCCGCTTCGCCGCGATGATCGAGCGCGAAGTTTAGAGGCAAGGCTCTGGAAGACCGCCGGGCACTCGTGCCCCCGGAGATGAGCGTGGAAATCGCCCCGAAGGTCGCTCGGCATCTCCGCTGACGATGTAAGGACCGGCGCCGAGCCGACGCCGCGCCTGAACGAAGACGGTGCCGGGTGAGAGCCTCGGGATGCGGTATTGTGCCCGGGGTCAGAATGGGAGGTGAGATGACGGCTCCACCAAGGACGTACGTCGTCGAGCTTGCTGACCCCCACGCCACCAGCTGTCAGTTCGTGAATACCACCAGAGAGCGCCGCGGCGCCACAAGATACTAGCTCACCGCCGCTGGCCCCGGCACACGACCGCGACAGATCACCATCCAACTTCGCTCAAGTGGGCCCGCTGATCCACGCCGCTCACCCCAGCAGACAGTCGGGATGGCCCGTGGCGAAATCCGCGCACGCACTTGAGGCGGGTTCGGCGGGGTGATAGATGACGTCAACGGCTCGACCTGGCTCAGCTCCCGACGCGCAGAGCGTAGAGGCACGCAGTAGGTACGCGCACCGTCTCCCCCGGCAGCGCCGCCGTCCGTCGCGACGCGTTCGCCGCAGGAGACGCGTCGGGCGGCGTGCCTTGCGGGGAACCGCCTGGAATTTGTAGAGCGACCACAACGGAATTAACGACGGGCGTCGGCCGCGGCGCCGACCGCCTTGAGGCTTGGCGCGGCGGTGTGAGGAGGTCGTCCGCCAAAGCGGGGGGATGCCAAGGTGCGCAGCACCGGCCTAGCGCGACGGGGAGTGGCGGCGGGAACGTAAACGTTGGAGGGCGGTTTGCGTAAAGTGGCCCAACAGGAGGCTTGTTGACCCGCCTCGTAGACGTACTGTGCCGCCCGCGCTGTCGCCGGCGAGGTTCTACGAGCTTGGCGCGGTGTCTCGGGGACCGTGGGGGGCGGATGCGGTCACGAGGACGAGGGCGCTAGCGGTGCTTGGGCTTGAGTTCTTGAGTTCTCGAGTCATGGCTCTTTAGAGTTGAAGAAGAAGTGTGAGAGGACTCTGAAACTACGTCAGTGGCATCGCGTGAGTATCGCCGGGAAATGTTGAAAAATCGGTTAGTACATACTTGACATGTGGGGACCGCGGAGAGAAAAATAACGACACCCAGAAGCCTGCGGGGTGTAGTACCGCACTCGAGAAGAGCTCGGTTGACATAAAAAGTGAGAAAGACACGCCGCTAGGTAGTTGTACGCCGAGCGAATAACGATCTCGTTGATCGCTCGATTTCTGCCCCGTTTCTTGCGTAGAGCCCCGTTGTTAATGGTCGCCTTGATTCGTTATGGGTTGATGAACCTGTGCGTCGAAGGAGCGCGACGGCGCAGCAGTGCGCGCCGCTGGCTGGACCATGAATGTCACAGGAAAGTACCCGCGACATAGTAACCACCTAGTATGCGCCAATATCAAAACCATGATGAGGTTATGTAGACGACGAGATCCTCAGCTCACAATCGGCTGAGTAAAGTGTCTGCGGTGTGCACTCGAGGTTTGGTCGACCATTTGCCTCCCGAAATCCCGGCGCGAGAACGTTCCCGTCGGCGAGAGACGTGCGAATCCGGCCTGCACGTCCGAGCTGCCTCGAAACAAGGGCGATTTCATTGTTTCCATCGGGTTAGGATGGACTCCGTACACCGCAGGATACAGGACGCGTCAGCACAGCAGTGTCGTGGAAGCTCGCGGCTGCGTCAGAGCACGCCAGTAAGCCGATATCCCACGTTCACATCCCATCCCCTGAATCAAGCACTCACAGACTGTATATGACAGCGCATCTCTCCGCATCTGTCATGACCGAGGAAGGCTTTGAAAATTTGAATGCATGCGTCCCAAGATAAGCACGGGTCCTGGCGGCGACGGCCCACAGATAAGCCAATCCCTGGCTCAAGCTCGACGCGCACGTATGGTTGCTGTCGTCATCGTCTGCGCGTGCGTGTTTGATGAAACGGGCATCGTGTTCGGTCGATAGAGAACTTACCAAGTGGTATCGCGTAGTTCTTCTGCCTGACGACTCTACGTCCGGAGGCGGGTGGTGCCCCGCGAACGGTCGTCCGGTCGGGAAACTGATGGCTGTGGTCGAATCCGCACCCGCGCCCGCGCGAACCGCCGTCCGACGTCCCGCGGATGTGGCCCGCGCGAGCCGCGCGCCACGTTCCTGCAGATCTTCCCGTTTGAGCGCGGCTGCGTGGTAAGGGGGAAGCAACAAAGGCGAACGATGCGCGTTCGCCAAAGACGGGCACGCTTTCCCGCGAAGCTTCGACTCGGTGGGCTGGTTGTGCTTGCGCAGGGAGGATTGGACAGTTCGGGCTCGAGGGCATGGAGGTCGTTGCTTCCCCTAGAGGATCGACGTGAAGATGGGAGGGAGAGATTGAGGCCGAGTGTCTGGTCGCTGGTGGGAGAGACGACCCCAGAGTGAGGAGCCTTCTCGGATGGCGTGCGGATGGCCGAGGATGGGCCGACGTACCGTGTTACGGACCCAGGGCCGGCATTCGCTGCGATGTTCCAGCGTGTCCGTGTCGTTGTGGCACTTTGCGAAGCTTCGCCGGGAGCTGTCGATGGATACCAGTTGCGGGGACTTGACCTTAAGAGTGTTTTATGCATCCGGGAACCATGCCAGTTTGACGACTGCATTGGTTTGGTACAATCTATGACTGGGGGACGAGGACGAGGACTGGATCCTGAACGACATATTCTCCGAGAGTTGTTGCGGCGAGCTGGTCGCGCAGTCCCGCTGGCACCCAAGCCGGCACGGCGAGGCGCATGTCGAAAACCAGGTCTGTGTTGCACATTGCTCGCCAGGGACATTCGCCCGTCTGTGGTCGTGATGGGACGGAAGGAGAATCGATGACGCCGGGACGGGTGCCCGTTCTCCCCCGCGCTATCTGCATCCGCGATGGAGATAAGAACGTCTCCGCGCCCTCAGTCCTCCCCTCCCGCGATCAGCGCACCGTCCTCGTCAGCCACACTCACTAGCACCTCGCACCGAGCCCCCGTCCGCGCGCCGAACACGCTCCGTCTCTCCCACTCCTGCGCGCACACCCGAGGGCCGGTGCGCGGCTCCGACGACCATCACGCCGCGCTCATCGCGAACCCCAACGTCGAAGGGATGGTCGGATGCCAAGGCGCGGCCCGTGCGGGCTTCTGGCTCCTTCAGGCGTGTTAGGCCGCTTTCAGGACTCCGGACGCCCTCCAGCAGCGGACCCGGGTGAATCGCCAGACGCCAATGGCGAGTGCTAGCAACTTCCAGCTTCAGAACTCAGAACTCAGTACTCAGTCTTGCATCAGGGTCTCAGTTCGACCCACCACGGTCCACCCGCCTGCGTCGTCGTTTTCGGAGCGGGAAAGACCGAATCCAGGGCGGCGTCGTCCCGCTCCAGCCTCCGATCTCGCTGCTGAGTGAGCGCGTCTGCGGGGGATGTCAAGAGGCTGTCATCTCCAGTCAGTGCTGTGCTGTGCAATACTTCCGAGTCCCGGCGACGGAGAAAGGCATCAGATGGCCTCATCATGCCACCGCGGCTCCGAGGCTTCGAACGGCTCCGAGCACTCGAGACGTCGCTCGTAAGTACGTGCGGGCTCTCGCGGGTGGCCCGAGCGCTGTTGACAGTTCCGTCGAGGGGAATACTTGCTGAGCGACCGAGAGAGCCTGATGTCGCCCTAGCTCGCAGGACAGACTCGTACATAATTAGCTCTATGTATGGACTCAGTTGTATTCCGGTTAGAATTCATCATCACCACCATCATCACCAGCCCTCTCGTAGGACAACCGCGCTCAGGCGCAGATGAATCCCTACGCATCCGGCCGTCCCGCCGCCCGTGGCCGGTAGTGCGCACGACGTCGCCCCGCTTCAAGTCCAATCCCACCACCTTGGCTTTCGCAGCCCGCGGCGGTACTTAGTGGGCCCTCTCCCGGCCCTGGTGGTGGCAGTGTGCCGTTGGGACTCGGCGGGGGACGCGTACGCCTTTGGTCGTCCGACGAGTGGATGCCCTTATGTACTTACCCACCGCGCTGACACCCGCGCGCACCGTCGGACCGCGCAGTGGGCGGGCGCGTCAGCAGCTGCTGGCAGCATTCGCCGACCGCACGAGCACCTACCACAAGTCAACTAGTCACCGCCCGCGTCCAAGAATACGAGTCCGTCTCCCCCCGGGGTCCTCCGGGTCCCGCTCCCCGCGCGCGGAACTCGCCGTCGGGATGCGCTGGCGCACGCTGATGGTCGGACGTTCGACGGCCAGATGGGATCCGTCCCCGCCCCGCCCGACCATTGCGATTTTGCCGCAATTGATGGCCCTCGCGCGCGTCCCTGCGCGCCTGCCGCCCAGAAAAAAAAACGTCGCGCGGCCGCAGCCCACAGCGGCCAGCCAGCCTGCAGGCCGCGGAGGTCCGGGGGACGACGCACGTGCGCGTCGTGGCCGCCGTCCATTCACTGCCGCCGCTCGCGCGCTCGAGCCTCGGAGTCGAGCCCTCCGTCCCTGCAGCCAGCTGGCCGCCGCGCCGCCGCGGGCGTCGCCAACGTGGTCCCGAAGCGCGAGGGGTGACGACATCGGGCCGCGCGCCCAGACACGAGGCGCGGGACGAGCCTTTTAAGCTTCCGCGCCGTCGCGCGCACGGTTCACCCGCGCGGATTCCGGCCGCGCGTGGAGCGCCACTGGCACTCAGTCTCGAGAGCTCGTGCGCCAACCTTGGAAGTCTCGTTCTTTGGCAGTCCGCTCTCGCGCGAGGTTGGACGTTGAAATCGAGACCGCCCCGCGACGGGATTTCGGGCGCGTGGCGTACAACAGAAACTCGGAAAGTACAAGTACCGCCGCGGTTGCCGAGCAACGCGCGTCGGCTGTGTGGACGTGAGGTTCGAACGCGAACGCGAACGTGGCGGTGATGGCGGTGAGCGGAGAGTCCCGGGAGCCTGGGACTCTCGGGTGGAGGTCGCGCGGGCCCAGGCTGGACTCTGGCCAGCCGTGACGGTCGCGAGCAGGGTGGCAGGAGGACGCGAGCGCGAGGACGACGTTCGGTTCGGACGTCGAGCTCGAGGTTCGAGAGTCGAGAGTCGAGAGCCGTGCATTTGTCGACGACGTCGACCGTACTTACGTGCGCACTGCGCACCTGCTATCGCGGGCGCTCCGAGAGAATCGCGGACGCGGCGTGCGGGCCGCGATCACAGTCCAGACTGCATCACGGTCGCAAACTTGGCGCTCGAGAAAGCGTTCCGCGTTCTGGAGGTCTGGAGAGAGTCAAAGACGTTTTCTATTCTGAGTCTGAGCCTCCGAGGCCTGCGCGGTTCGATATGGACGGCGTACGCGCGGGCCCGATGCCGGCGCTGCCGTACAAAGCCGCGCGACGCTCTCCGCTCTGGCAGCGCGTACCGAACTGGCCCTGGAGAGTGCGTTCTCGCGCTAGCCGGGGACGCCGGCTGGAAGGCCGTCAGTGAGGCGGGCGGCGCCGCGCATGGCGTGCTCCACTTGGGTCGCCAGACCAGCTGGCGGCGGAGAACGGTGGGCAGGACGCGGGTCGAAAACCTTGGGCGGCGCGTAGCCTGGTGCGCGCTCTCGGGTGGCGGGTTTCCCGGTCTCAGGCCCAGACCCGGGGTCGACGCGCGAGGAGGTTAGGCTAGGTTAGGGGCCCCAGGCAAAGGAAGGACTGCCACAGCAAGTACTGGTACTACTTACAACCTGTCACTCGAGGGATCTTGTCCGCCACACTGCACCCGCGGGCGGAGCGCGTCGGGCTGCGGCGCCGACGAGGAACAAGCCTTCCGTCGCCCGTACACAGCGCTAGCGCTAGCACTCGGTCTTCCAGAGGCTTGGCGGTGGCTTCGAAGCTCTTCAGGTCGACAAGGTTCGACAGAGACGGACGACCAGGCGCCAACCGCGCGTTCGGCGCGGTCGACACGCGCAACCCTATCGTGCCCTCCAAACCGGTGGCCGATCGGGGAGGAGGGGCCCAGGAGAGGGCGGACAAACGAACGCACCGGGTTCCAACGAGCCCTTAATCTCCGCGACGACGACGCGCCAGGCGCGGCACGAGGCCGACCACGACCCATCGGGTGGCCAGAGCTGCAGCGCCGCGGTATCGGGGTGACGGACCCCGCGGTGTCTCGATGTCGATGAATCATGGGCGCTCGAGCGCTGAGCGGCACCGGTTCTGAACCAGGGGTCGGTCCGCCCGAGTCGCGCGAACGTGCGCGCCCGCGAACGAACGAGAAACGGCGACGGGGTTGGGTTCGCGGCGTGCGTAGGTCTTTGTGGGCGCAGCGTGCGTCCAACCGATGCGACGTCGACGTTCGAGCCCGAGCCACCGGCTGATCAGTGATCATTAATCAGTTCGCCTTCCCCCGGCGTCGATACGATCTTCGAGGGCCTCGACACGCGTATGGCGCCCAAGTATGGGTGTTGTGGAGAGCGACAATCGAGGCTCGATACGGGGTGGTGCGTCATCGGGGTCGCGCGCGCGGCCGCCTGGGTTGGGGTTTGCTTGGCTCGTGTGCACCGGTGCGCGGAATGGTGGCTGGGGGGCACCCAAACGAGGGGCGTCGACGAATTCGTGTCCTCGATCGACGTGTGGCGACGTGCACTGCGCGCGCTGCACCGGGCTTGGCCAAGGAGACAAATACGCAGCGCTGAGGACGCGCCGATCGCGGACGCGAGTTTGATTCAACCTACAAGCCTCTGACGAATTCGTTTCTCGAGCCTGGGTTGGTTCGGGCGCGGGACACGAACTTGCGACACGTTGCGGGGTGTGACGTGGGCGCACTCACGTGAGTGCGTTCTGGCGCGTTCGTGAGCTTGGTGAGGTGGACGGCCTTCGAAGAGCCAGAAGCTGGCGCGGCTTCCCTCGGAAAGGCGCAGGGGTGTGCTGCGCCGCGGTCAGCGCGCTTTCTGAGACGCCTGCGGAGGTGAAACGATACTGAACGCCATGGCGCCGATGACGCAGCGATGGGCCGTTCGCGAAGCCACGCCACGTCACGGCGGAGAAGAGAACCTAGGTCGCCGCACGTCCCGAGCTGCGTTTCGGTAGGTAGAAGCGGTATCGTGAGTCGGTGGAACGGTGGAAACGGAGCAGGTGTTCACCGTTCAGAATCCGGATCGTAGAACAGCAAGTGATCAACCGCACACAGTTGGAAGACGACGACGAAGACTGGCGGGCATTGGGGACGGACCGGGGGTGGGGCCGGTGCCCGGTTCGGGGATCGATAGCACGGCAGCTGCGCACCCTCAAGCTTCAAGTCCGGGCGGGAATTTCGAAGAGCGCGCGTCCGGTCGGTCAATGGCGAAATGAGCGCAGCGATAGCGCGAAGGACGGGCGGTGTGCATTGTTTTTGGGTAAGTACAGTACGTACGCGCGCGGGCGGGAGATTCGAACAAGGTTGCAGGGTGGTAAGTAATGGAGGGTACTCGGCCAAGAGCGCTCGTGGGAGGAGGATGAGTCGAGGTCTCACACTGGTAGTCACGGAGGAGGTGCAGGGGCGGTGCAGACGGGGTTGAGTGGCTGCCATCGTCCGGTCACAAGACAAGACGGTGAGTAGGCGGAGCACAGGCACACAGACAGCCAAGAACACGTACAGGTAACAGCGTCCACGTACGGCGTCAACGCCGGTCTCGACCCTCGAGCTATTGTGCATAGACGAGGTGACGGAGGGGGAGGTCATGGCAAGCTGGACGGGCCTAGGGACATGCTCCGTGCTCCGTCGGGCGGAGCCTAGACCGAGGCGGGGGCGGGGGCGCGGAGGCGGGCTTTCGCTCGAAATGGCAGGAATATCAGGGACGCCACGTCGCCCCGGATCGATCGCAGACGCCTGCTGTGCATGTGCGGGGTATGGTGAGGGGCACCGCGCCTTCACCTAGCCAGGGGACACAACATATCATAGCACCTACCCCAGGCGAGGACGAGAAAGACGGAGCGCTGCACATGTCCGTGGGCGAGGGTCTGGCGGAAGAAAGTCGGGCGAGGGAAAGAAGCCGGACGGTGGAGAGATCTGTGGGCGATGGGCGCTGGCTGCACAGCGCCTCCGCAAGGATGGACGTGAAACGGAAAGTTGCGAGCGGAAACGAGCGTCGCCAGGGGGGATCGAGGGTCAGCTTGGCGGCCCAGAGCCCACCCTCGCGTGCCCGGCAGGCTCTGCGTGGCACACAGCAGGTGCGGCGTGGACGGCGGCGATGGCGCGCGGCCGGTCGCAGGGCGGGGAGGAGGAGAGGAGGAAGGACAAGGTGGGAAGAGAAGAGGCGCACGTGCCGCAGAGGGCGGGACCCCGGGGAGCGCGGGCAAGCTTGGCAGCTGGGGCGGGAGCGCTGGGGACGCAGGTCGGCGGCAGAGGGACGCGGAGCCACTGCTACCTTCTTTTTATCCCGTGGCCTTGTCGCCTACTTATCCTACTTGCTGCCCTACTCCCTCGCCGCCTTTCTCTCTCTCCCCCTCCCTCTCCTGCCGCCCAGGCCTCCACTCCTCAGCTTGCCCTCTCCCACCATCGAGCGCGCCCACGATGGCCATGCTCGTCCAGTACCCAGCCCCCATGCCCCGCCAGGGCATCCTCCTCAACCCCTCTCCCGCTGCCTCTCCCGCCTTCCATCCAGCGTCCCTCCCCGCCCTCGTCCCCTCCAACTCCTCCCTCTCCTCCTCCGCCTCCTCCTCTGCCCCCGGCGAGTCTTCCGACTATTTCGCAAAGTCCGCATCTCCCTCTCCTGGGCCCTCACATCCCCGCGACCCGAAACGCGCTTCCCACTCCAAGGCCCGCGCCGGCTCCAACCCGAGCACCGTCCGCCGGATACGCTTCGCCCCCCTCCCCGAGCCTCGCCGCGACGAAGAGGAGGACGGGCCATATCCCCCCGTCTTCCTCGACGACGACGACGCCGCCGAGCAGCTCGCCATGTTCTCAGCGCTTCCCTCCGTGAGCACGTCACTCGACCCCAAATCCCCCGTCGGTGCGACCTCGAGTCCCCGGATATGCCGTCGGCCCCTCGCCCCCGACTCCCTCCTCCTCGACCCCTCGAGCCCAAATCCGGACGCCTGCAGCCCCGCGACCCCTACCGCCGCCCAGCTCGCCGACCCGGCCCACGACGCCGTCCCCCTCTCGCCTTTGACACCCCTCGCCACCGCCGCCGCCGCCCCTCTCCCCGACTCGCCGCGCCGCGGACGGTGGTCCAAGATGCTCAAACCGCTCCTCGGCCGCAGCACGCCCAAGTCGCCCTCGTTCTTCCCGCGCACGTCCTCGATCGACTCCACCGCGTCGCTCGACCTCCCGCGCGGGCGCGGCGGCGCCGTCGTGTCCGCCGCGAGCTCGCGCGACTCCTCAATTTCGCGCGAGGGCGCGCACGAGGCCCGCCGGAACTCGGACTTTGGTGCGCCCCTGCACCGCTGGACGTCCGAGGGCGCTGCGGGCGCGGGCGTGGGTCTCCCGCTCAGCAAGAAGAAGCGGCTCATGCTCTTCGGCGGGGGCGGGAGCGGGAGCGGGGGCGTGCCGCTCGAGCGCACCCAGAGCCTGACGTCGCTCTCGGGCAAGGAGAGGAACAAGCCCGCGCCGAGGGCGGCGGGGGCGGCCGCGCCTGCGAACGGCGCGCGGAAGCAGACGCGGATGCTCAACGGCCGGGTGTACGGCGCGAAGAGGAGAAAGTCGACGGCGAACCCGTTCGACAACGTTAGGTGCGTACCTCCGTTCCCGATGCGCGACGACGCTTTCCCACTCCGCCTTTCCCAACGTCCACGATTCCTGGTTTGCTGACGTGGTGCTTTTTTTTTCCAGGACCGACGAGCCCGAGTTTGTGGAATGGGGCTACGGCGGTATGGGCTCTGTGAAGAGCGCCGGCCAGCATGCGATGTGGTCCCGCCTCCAGGCCGGTAACGACGCGGCCGGGGTGGCGAGGACGGACGCCGATGAAGACGACGGGACCGGTATGACGTGGGTGAAGAAGCGGAAGGAGCAGCGTGAGCGCGAGAAGAGGGAGCGTGAGGAGCGCGAGAAGGCTGAAGCGGAGGCGAAGGCGAAGGCGGAGGAGAGTGCGGCGAATGGGGAGGAGGAGCCGGCAGCTGAGGTGGCCGAGGCCGTAGGGGAGGAGACGACGCAGCCGGAGCCCGTCCAGGAGGTCGAACCCACCGTGCTCGCGCCCATCGCCGAGGTCTCAATAGAGCAGACCGCGTCTTCCCCAACCCCTGGCACCCCCGTCGCAGTCGACGGCTCGAAGCCCGCTCCCGCCACGAGCGAACACATCACCACGGCCGTTGCGATCCCCGCCCCCTCCCCTCACCGCCACCACCACGCGCACTCGAATAGCCAGACCTTCATTCACCCCGGTGTTGAGCGTCGTGAGAGCGCCGAGGCTGCGCGTGCCGCTCCTGTTGTCACTCCAGGAGCGAAGGGCGAGGTCTCTGTTCCTGTTGCCGAGAAGGCGCATCCGCCCGATACGGAGGAGAGCAGTGCAAACAACACCAGTGATGACGAAGACAGCGAGGGCAGCCCTAAGGAAACCGATGGCGAGTCTGGTCAGGAGGACGACGACGACGATGAGGATGATGAGGTGAGCATACTCTTGTCGTGTCTGATTAGAGTTGCGACTGACCAGTGCGGTTCGCAGGAGCAGCGCCGCCCCACGGCGACCAGCGCGGGGATTGAGAAGTTCGCAAGACATCACAAGGAGGACCAGAGTGCGGCTGGCACTCCCGCGGCGGAGCCTTCGAGCTAAGACGCGAGGTGCCCTCCGGTCAAGGTCGAAACCGAGGTCGGACGACCCGTTTCCGTACCCTTGCCCCATTTATTCCTGCGCTACCCTCCCCTGCGTCTGTTCAACAACATGCGATATCCGCGTGTTGCGTGCGGCATCCGAGGGACGCTGGACGGGAATCACCCCTTGGGTGACAAGCCCCACGACATACGATTCGCGAGCAGGACGATCAGCAGGCGCGACACCCCGTGATGATGACGCGCTCTCACTGTAGATTGAGCGCGCGGATCCGAGCTCTCTTGGACGCCTGGCAAGGATACCCTCTGCGGGCCAGCGGTGCCCGTCGTTGCTTGGCGTCGAGCGCGGACCGCGACCCGTGTATACCAGTATACCAGGTGCAAAACTAGAGGCTCGTCGCCCAGCGCGGAGTGAAGCCGGTCCCAAAGCAACCCCCTCCTCTCTTCCTACCCTCGTCCGCTTTATACCGCCCGGGTGTTCGCCTCCGCATCTCCCTCCTCCGCCCTCTGTGATATACCGGCTTTCCGCCTCCTGATGCCCGCTGTCTCCTCCACCAACCCACCACTCTTCGCCCGCTGTATCGCCGCTGGACGGGCGACATTCCTCCACCTCATACGCTATCGCCATCCGCCGTCGACCCCGCTTGCTCCGGCGCGCTAATCTCCACCTTCTACTGTGCATATATGGACGATGCTCTGCTCGCTCTCCCCCTCTCCTCTCCATCCGTGTATGCCTCCCCTCCGTCCATGTGTCCATACCTCTCCTGCCAAAAGCCCGCCGGCATCCTGCGCGCCCCGCGCGTCCCACACTCTTTCTCCCCTCCCTCGCCCTTCCCGTTATCCGATCGTCGTCGTCGCATGCTGTGTACTTCTCCTTCTCTTGCATATACCGTATTCGCCCCCCAGGCTCTAGTCACCGCCCGCCTCGCCTCGCGCCGCGGCGTCTACTCCGTACCGTTGTAATCGGCCGCGTGGCTGCCCCCCATGCACCGCGGCCACCTCCCCCCGTTGCCCACTTTGCTTCTCGGACCCACCCCGCCCGCATTGCGTGTCCGTCGCCAGACGCGTGCCTCCCCACCCCCAACCACATCCATCGCATCGCATCGCATCGCGCATCGCATCACATCACATCCCGTCTTCGTATCGCCCCCCATCCCGCGTCGTGTGTACCATATCGCTCTCGAATCTCTTCCCATCGCGCCCCTTCCCCTTCCTCCCGCACCCCCGCCCGACTCTTTCGCCTCCGCCCCTCGCGCACTGTGGATATATCCCGTGTCTGCTCCTGCTCCAGTTGCCCGATTCTCGACTCCCGACTCCCGGCCCCGATTTACATTTACACGCCCTCGCCCTCCAGCCCCGGATCGCCCCCGCGCCCTCCCCTCAGACGTCTCGTGGATCGTTTTATCGTTACCCGCACCCCCCGAGCCCGCCGCACACGAGCCCGTTAGTGATCAGTCAGTCCCGACTCCCGAGTGCCCTCCGCCGTTTATAGTCGTAATATATTCGCCTTCGTCGCGCCGCGCGGGCCGCCACGGCCCTGCGGTGCCTCCTTTTCATGTGCAGCTGCAGTGTGTGCTATGGGATGCCTAGGGGAGACTAAGTGTGTGCGCGTGTGCGGGTTCGAACTCGACCTTCGCGACTCGGCGCTAAGTTGGAAATCGGAACTTGGAAGTTGGGATCATGATCCGCGCGGAGGCTTTCCGCGTCCGACGCCTGCGCGTGACTCCGTGGACCGTCCGACATCGTTGGCAGCCCCCTACGGGCCCAGTCCGAGTCCATATAACTCGAGTCCCCGGGCACCGCGACGGGTTCGCGGGCGTGCGCACCCCCTTATTCTAGCTCGCGCCCCTCCCGCGACGCGCCTGTGGCCCTGCCCACGTCCGTCTCTCGTGGGTCGTTTCCCCGCCGCCGGTGCGCGTACATAACGCTTATTTGCGGACCTCTATAAATACGCGTTCTCCCCCGCTCATGGACGTGCTTATTATAGCTCGGCTCGGTCGGTCGATCCAATATGTGACCCCACATACCCAACTCACGTGCGCGCCGGGTGTGTATGTGTCACGGAATGGAACCGTCGACTGGGCGGGGAGACGGCTCGAGCGAGCGAGACAGGTCCGGTTCGGAGGTAAGAGACCTGACGCTGACTTGTCTCGATTACCGATCCTTCCCCGCAAGATGACGAGTCGGTCACGCGCGCTGGCGGCCAGCGGAGAAGGAGAACGGATAGAGACGGAGGTGGGGGGCGTGAGTGTCTATGGTACATGCAACAACGAGCCGGACTACGGGCGGGGCGCAGTTGTCTTGTTTGGCGTTCTGGTCGTCTCTCACCGCATCGTGACGAGCTCTGCAAAGGCAAATGGAAAGGGAAAGTCAGCGCGGGTTCTCCCAAGCGGGCAGCGGCCGCTCGAGAGCGTGCCCTAGAAGCAAGCAGAAGGTCCAAAAATATAGCCCCGGGGACTGCGACGGACCACCTCGCCAGGAAGCAAGGGAAGACGGAAGGACGGAGAGGAGGAGGAATGGAATAAGAGTAGAAGTCCGCGCACCTTCGCCGGACGTCGGGTGGATCGCGACGGTGTCGTCGAGGTCGGCCTTGGTGGCACCCATCTTGACGGCGACGCCGAAGCCCTGCATGATCTCGTCCGAGCCGAGCCCGAGGATGTGGATGCCGACGACGCGCTCCTCGGGTCCTGCGCAGATGAGCTTGTACACCGATGGCTCCTTGTGCTCTTCGGGGACCATCGAGAAGTAGAGCGCGCGGAACGAGGACGTGTAGATCTTCACGTTCGCGTCGCCGTGCTTCTTGCGCGCCTCAGGCTCCGTCAGGCCCACCGTACCGATGGTGGGGTGCCTGCATGGAGCGTCAGCACATAGCAGAATCACACCAGCGAGGAAAGGCGTACGAGAACACTACAGTGGGAATGTTGTCGTAGTTCAGCTTCTCGCTCTTGTACTTCTCCCCGCCATAGAGGCGGTTCGACAGCCTGCGCGCGGCCGCGATCGCGACGGGCGTCAGCAGCGCCTTGCCCGCGACGTCCCCGAGCGCGAGGATGCCGGGCACGCCCGACTCCTGGTACTCGTCCACGATCACGTCGCCCTTCTTGTCGAGCTTCACTCCAAGCTGCTCGAGGCCGAGGCCCTCCGTGTTCGCGTGCCGACCGATGGCCCAGATGAGCGTGTCGACTTCAAACTTCTCGCCAGACTTGAGATGTACAGTCAGCGGGCCGCCCTTCTCACCCTCAACGCGCGCGACGTGAGCACCGTGGTGGAAGTTGATGCCGGTGTGCTTCATCCAGCTGGTGAGCGCCTCCCCGAGCGTGGGGTCGAACGACCGGAGAACGGTCTCGCCGCGGATGACCATCGTGACCTCGCTCCCGAGCGTGTGTAGCACGCCCGCAAGCTCGACCGCGATGTAGCCTGCGCCGACGACCGCGACGCGCTTGGGCTGGTCTTCGAGGTCGAAGAAGCCGTCCGAATCGATGCCCAGACTCGCGCCCGGGATCTCCTCTTCGCTCGGCACCGTCGGGCGTCCGCCGGTGGCGACGACGATCTTGTCCGTGGCGAGCGTGTACTTAGTCCCGTCGGGGCGCGTGACCTCGACGGAGGAAGGCGAGACGAGGCGCGCGAAGCCATGATGGTACTCGACGCCCTCTTTCGCGACGTTGCTGTCGTAGATCGAGTTCAGGCGCTTGATGTATGCGTCGCGTTGAGGCTTGAAGGTCGCCCAGTTGAACTGAGGGGCGCCGATACCGGGGCCCTTGAACTGGTAGCCGGGCGCGTGATGACGAATCTTGTCCGCAATGTCGGCAGCATGCCACATAATCTGAATGATGACCTCTCAGAGTCCGCGCAGTCTGGGTGGCGGATTTTCCGCACCTTCTTAGGTACGCATCCTAAGAGGGAGCGTTAGAACGATGCCTCAACGCAAATCGTGAACACGTACCAACATTCACGCACGTTCCTCCCAGCCGGTGCGTGCTCTCAATGAGAGCCACTTTGGCACCATATGATGCTGCCCTGCGCTACGCCAGAATGAGCATTCACGCGATGACACAATGACGAATAAATGCGTAGGGGAGTTTGGGGCAGCCCCTTAGTCGAGCTGTTACCCCTCACTTTCTGCGCGACTGGATGGCCGTGACCACCAGAAGCGACGCACGCAACATTTCGGGTTGGTTATGGCAGCACGCGCGCGGGTGTGGGGCAGGAGAGAATGTGCGCATAGACATGCCGGACGAACAAAGGGAACATACCGAGCCAGCGACGCCACCGCTCCCACCACCGATGAAGACAACGTCGTAGTGGTCAAGACCGGGCTTTGATACCGGAGGCATTCTGGTTACAGCAGTCCCCGTGGAGAGTGCGCGAGTGATCTAAGGAAAGCCGTTAGAGAGCGCGCGCGACGACGGAGGCGTCACGGACCTGGAGGAGGCGACGAGACGCTATGGCTGGAGAGCGGAGAGAGGGGAGAACGACAATCGATAGGGAGGCCAGGGTGAGTTATATAGAGATGCAAGAGAGGTATAAGTTAGAGGGGCGAAGAAAAGCTGGATAAGCTTGAATACACCTTCGTAAGCGAAACACGGGCAAATGGCGAATACGGCGCCTCTTACGCGCCTCTGCGCGATCACGTGTCACCGGCGAATATCGTCATCCCCAGGAGGCTTACAAGTTACCCTGCCCTGAACGGTGAACCTGCCCCGTGCACGTACACGATGCTTACAATGTACGGCCTGGTCTGCCCATAAGATAGTGCGGTCTGAAGACGGCCTCAAGAGCTCGCTCCTTCTAAAAGGGGTTAAGTACCTCCTCCTCGGTGGACAGAACGGCTAACGTGAGAGAATGTGGCACCCTTAAGATTCTCTTGTGCATTACTCTCCCCTCTCCACATCGCAGCTATCACGGTCAGCTTCCACGGACATACCTCGTCCGGACTCGCCCGGGTCCAGACTCCACCGCTCCCTCTCGACCCACTTTGAGCCATGCATATATAGTACTAGCGCGCAACCCCCCGGGACGGAACGTGGTTCCTGTCGGGATACTGGAAGAGCTGATGTCGCGCCGCCAGCCGACTTACCTCAGACTCACGCTCGACCGGTACTTGCTTCCTGGGCGACGACTCCCCACTGAAGCCCGGCCTCATTCCCTCCAGCGCCGTTCCCCTGCCATACGTGGCTTGGACTCGTCTTTCGGCTGTTTATCACGCACTCGGAGACCAACCACGTGGGGGCTCCCGCGGTGCGTTCACGTCAGGGAGGCTGAGATGTGGACGCGGATATAGAAGCAATGGCTGGAACTCTGGCGACTTCGCATGTACACAATATGTTGCGCCCGCGTCTACCAGCCCCAACGCCAGTGTGGCACCCACGGAATCGTGGCCCACTCATTCGGCCAATCCTCCCGCCGAGCCGTGCCCCTCAACAACGTCGCCGTCCTGGACCCCATGTTGCGCCTCCCGCGCCGTGGGTTCTGGATCCGCATCACGGCTTCATCCAGAGTCGGGATGGTCTCCCACAGGTCGCGCAGGTACTTGTCGGGATCGATGCGCGTCGTCGATTCTTCAGAGTCGGTCAATGGCGGGGGCGCGGGCGAGCGCGCCCGGAGTTCGCGGACGCGCTTTCGTCGCTCTCTTTCTCCGTCAGAACACGACTCGTCTGCCGATGACGCCATACCCTCGATCGAAAGTAGATGATGGCCCGTCTTCCCAAAACGCACGTCGAGGTCGAGGACCGCCAAGCGGGTGCTTCGCAGAGAGGTCGCAAGCTCCGTCTGTAGAGGAGTTCGACAGTGAGCATCCACTCCGGGTGAAAGGCGACGGGACATTCACAAAGATCTGGTGGTAGTCGCAGTCCTCAGACACGAGACGGACCTTGACGTAGAGCGAGCGGAGGTTCTCCCCACCGGCCCCGCGCAGGGCGGCGACGAGGCCCGACCGGGCGTCCCCGAGGAGCACGTCGTTGCATTCGAGCCGGAGATGTTCCGGCTGGGCGTGCGCCAGGACTTCCTCGAGCATCTCGTTCCGGAGCGCATCGCCTTCGAGGACGCACCCTATGCTGACCGTCTGGAACTCGATGCGCCGGATGCGTCCAGGGAGACCGAGTATGTAAAGCTCGTCGATGCCGCCCGAGAAGGCCTGCAGACACGGCCACGACACCCCGCCGCGGCCGGTTTGGCTGTCGAGATTCTCACCACGGATCTGGCGCTTCTCTTCGTCGCTCACGACGCTGTACCCGCACTGGGCTGTGCTGGAGCGGAGGTATTGCAGGTTGGGATACGCGCGGACGAGGGAGGTGACGTCACGGATGATGGCGTAGTCGATGGCGAGACGGAGTAGTTTGGGGTAGACGTAGAAGGCGGTGGGCGTGTGCTCGAGACCATACCAATGCTCGCAAATGAGCGACTCGAGGGTGTCGCGGTGGTTGGCGAAGAGCGTGATGGGGTGTGAGCAGTCGAGAGCTGAGTCGTCGTTGTCGAGGTCGAAGTCCTCGCGGTCCTCTATCCGAAGATAGACGTTCGAAAGAGTACATTCAAGCTTCTGGAGTAGCTTGTAAACGCCCATGCCGAAGTATGCGTAGATGTGCAGATTTCGCAGGGAGGAGAGCGTAGTGCAGGCGTCCCAGAGTTCGGTGTGATCGAAGAAGAGGTCTCCTCCGCCTCCGGCGAGCTGGAGTGTCTCGAGCTTCGTGCAGCGGGCGATGAATTTCGCGAGGAGACGCACATGTTTGTCGTCATATTCATCGGGGTCGCCGAATGCAAAGTAAAGATGGCGGATGTAGCGACAACGTGTCCACTTCTCGGCTTTGACGAAGCGCAGGAAGAGCCTCAGTACATCTAGCTCGTCAAGCCTGATGGGGCGTTGAAGGGCAACCTTGGCACCCTCGTGGTAGAAATAACGGTTGAGGGACATGAAAGATCTGACGATCTCGCGAGGATTGTCTATGACGTTTATGATGTTGATGAGGATGTCCCAGTTCAGTCGAGGGAGCATCTGTGTCATGGTGGGCTACGCTCGATGATATAGTGAGTGGTACGAAAGAGGGGAGCTGGAGTGTGAGGACGAACCGCTGACACGAATAACGTTTTGGCTGAGGCTTTATAGTTGAATCGCTCCGTCGAGATGATGGTGTCGTTCGAGTCTGAGTCGACGTGTCGGATCGGCTACTCTAGTGTTGCCATTCCACCCGGCCCGGGCGCTCCGTGGGACTTTCCCGCAGCCTCTGCACCTGTCGATGTACTTACCTTGTCAGAACAGACATTTTTATTGACCCAACTGGGATGGCGGCCGCGGAAAGAGAGAGACTGGAGATGGAGGTTGGGAGGTGAGATGGAGATATATCTCCCGGTATCTGAAACGTCCGAGATATAGGGCGCCTATCGTGCTCCCTGGAGTCGGAATCGCCGCTCTTTTTGAAAGTTTCTTTCCCCCTCTCTGCTGTCACAGGGAGCCAATTTCCGACCTGGATAAACTCGGGACGCCGTCGCATCCTCATTAATGCGCATACCATTCTCTTAATTCTAGCTAGGGTCGTCTCTCCGATGGTACTTATCACATCCTCGGCCATGGCAGGAGGTGGCCTTTTGACTTTGAGTCACATGCATATCATGAACGTCATGAAATCGTGGTGAGGCCGATCGTACTAGTACCGCGCGGTTTCTCCAGGGATGCTGGAGGAGCTTCTGTCGCGCTGCTAGCCGACTCACTTCAAGCTCACGCTCGACCAGTCCTTCCTGTCGCCCAAGAAGGGAAGCCCGGCCTCATTTCCCTCCTGCACTCCCCTGCCGCACAGAATCTCACGTGTATCGAACCCATCTTGCGGCTGCGCGTCACGCACTCAAAGACCGACCACAGGGCTCTCGTGGTGCGTTCATGCCAGGGAGGCTGAGGTGGACGTCAGGGTGGAAGCAGTGATCACGCTGGAACACCGGCGGCTTCGCATGTACACGATATGTTGCACGGGCCGCGTCTACCAGCCCCAACGCCAGTTGGGCACACTCGGAATCGTGGCCCATTCATTCGGCCAGTCCTCCCGCCGTGCCGTGCCCCTCAACACCGTCGCCTTCCTGAACCCCATGTTGTGCCTCCCGCGCCGTGGGTTCTGGATCCGCATCACGGCTTCGTCCAGAGTCGGCATGGTCTCCCAGAGGTCGCGCAGGTACTCGTCGGGATCGATGCGCGTCGTCGATTCTTCAGCGTCGGTCGATGGTGGAGGCGGGGGCGAGCGTCGCCGCAGTTCGTGGATGCGTTTTCGCCGCTCTCTTTCTCCGTCAGACCACGACTCGTCTTCCGATGACGAGATAGGGTTGACGGGGAGCACATGGTCCGTCTTCCCAAGGCGCACGTCGAGGTCGAGGACCGCCAAGCGGGTGCTGTGCAGCGAGGTTGCAAGCTCCGTCTGTGGTGGAGCCCGACAGTGAGCATCCACTCCGGGTGAAAGGCGTCGGGAGACTCACGAAGATTTGGTGGTAGTCGCAGTCCTCAGACACGAGGCGGGCCTCGACGTAGAGCGAGCGGAGGCTCTCCCCACCGGCCCCGCGCAGGGCGGCGATGAGGCCCGACCGGGCGTCCCCGAGGAGCACGTCGTTGCATTCGAGCCGGAGATGTTCCGGCTGGGCGTGCGCCAGGACTTCCTCGAGCATCTCGTTCCGGAGCGCGTTGCCTTCGAGGACGCACCCTGCTCTGACTGTCTGGAACTCGATGCGCCGGATGCGTCCAGGGAGACCGAGTATGTAAAGCTCGTCGATGCCGCCTGAGAAGGCCTGCAAACACGGCCACGACGTCCTGCCGGCGCCAGTCTGGCTGTTGAGATTCTCGCCGCGGATCTGGCGCTTCTCTTCATCGCCGACGATGTCGTGCCTGCGGGCTGTGCTGGAACGGAGGTACCGCAGGTTGGGATACGCGCGGACCAGGCGTGCGACGTCGCGGACGATGACATAGTCGATGGCGAGACGGAGCAGTTTGGGGTAGACATGGGAGGCGGTGGGCATGAGCTCGGCCCCATACCACTGCTCGCAGATGAGCGACTCGAGGGTGTCGCGGTGGTTGGCGAAGAGCGTGATGGGGTGTAAGCGGTTGAGAGTCGGATCGTCGTCGAGGTCGAGCTGGAATTCCTCGTGTGCCTCTTCTATCCGAAGACGGACGTTTGAAAGAGTAGATTTGAGCCCCTGGAGTAGCTCGGAAACGCATAAGCTGGAGTATACATAGATATCCAGATTTCGCAGGGAGGAGAGCATAGCGCAGGCGTCCCAGACCTTGTTGTCAAAGAAGAGGGCTCCTCCACTTCCGAGTCTGAGGGTCTCGAGTTTGGTGCAACGGGTGATGAATTTAGCGACGAGAGGTACGTATATGTTTCCGCATCTATCGGATTCGTCGACCGCATAGCAAAGATGGCGGAGGTAACGACAGCGTGTCCACTTCTCGGCTTTGACGAAGCGTAGGAAGAGCTCCAGTTCATCTAGCCCGTCAAGCATAATGGGGCGTTGAAGAGCAACCTTGGCACCCTCGTGGTAGAAATAACGGTTGAGGTACATGAACGATCTGACGATCTGGCAAGGATTTTCTATCACGTTTATGACGTTGACGAGGATGTCCAAGTTCAGCCGAGGAAGCATCTGTGTCATGGTGGGCTACAATGGATAATATAGTGAGTGGCACGACAGAGACGAGCTGGAGTGTAAGGACGAACCGCTGACACTAGCGACCCTTTGGCTGAGGCTTTTCAGCTGGTACCACGTCAATTGCTGTGTCGAGATGGTCGTCAAATGTTCGTCGCCGTCCCTTCGTTTGGGCCTCGGCGTGTCAAATTGGCTTATCCGTTGTTGCTTTCTCTCAGGTCCAGGTTCTCCGTGTGAACTCCCGCCTTCTATGTGCCGCCGCGGAGAGAGAGATTGGAGAACGAGGGCGTGAGGGGAGACGGAGACCTCGGCAGGCGCCTATCCTGCTCCCACGCGGCCCCTGTGGAGCCATTTTCCGACATGTCGGCTCATCGCATCCTCGGTCATGCGCATGCCATTCGAAAAGGCTCCTGTCGTCTCTCCCATTACATCTTCCGCTTCCATCTACACGTCCATCCTCTAGGGCAAAGCAAACTGAAGTGTTGTTAACCTACTGGCTCCAACCTGTGCAGGAATGCATGTCCATCTTCGCAGAATGTATGTCTTCTCGCTAGACGGACCTTTCGCCTCGCTCAGACTGGGCGATCTGCAGGACTGTGACACACGGCTCGCGCGGGCCGCATCCGTGGCAAGCCGGACGACGGGTGCGGGTGTGGGCGCGGATGCGACGGTAGTGCACATTTCCGCAATCGGACGAACGTTTCGCAATGCATCGATTGCTCTTCTGGTGCGAAAGGACAATTCGGAGACCCCGGGAGATCGCTTCGTGTTCCACAAACAAGACACGATGGTTGTCTTGTGTGCGGGCGACGACACCAACGCAAAACTTTGAACACGTGTTGCCGATGCGGCAGCGTCGGGCTTCATGGTGCGTGCCAAGACTACGATAGAGCTTGTCTTATCTCTCTGCTGGCGGACACTGTCAGTCTGTGAGTGCTGTTCTCAGCGGATGGGATGGCGTGGAAAATCTGCATCCTGTAGCTACATAGTGCTCTGACGCGATGCGATCTTTCAGAACTCCGATGCTGTTCTCGATCGCCATACAACACCCCGCATGCGTCTGGGCGTTGCCTCTCCTGCTCAATGCGTTCCGCGGGCCCCACATGCCAAGTATGTAACGGCCGGTTTATACAAATTCCTCTCCAATACTCACGCAATGCCACTGACATAGTTTCGGCGCCCCTTCATAGTACATACAGTCATACTGTATATCTCCGTAAAAGAGCTATCACTCAAGCCCGCAGCGCCGTCGCCCTCGTGACCACATACGCGCCACAACGGTCCCCGAGACACCGCGCCAAGCTTGAAGAACATCGGTGGCGACAGCGCGGACGGCGCAGTACGTCTACGAGGCGGGTCAACTCGTTTCCTGTTGGGCCACTTTACGCAAACTGCCCTTCAAAGTTTACGTTCTTGCCGCTCCCAGTCGTGCTAGACCACTCTTGCATCTCTTGGCGTACCCGCCCTTGCTGACAACCTCCTCACACCGCGCCAAGGCCGGCGGCACCGCCGACGGCCTCCGTTCCGTTACGGTCGCCTCACGAATCCCAAGCCTTTCCCGGTAAGGCGCGGCCAACGCGTTTCCTCCAGTGAACCGGTCTCAAGTGCACAACAAGCCGCAATGCAGGATGGACACCATCTATCGCCGCGTCCCCGGGCGGCGGTGGGGTTTTGCTGGGGTGTATCCTCCCAGCCTTCCAGGCAGGACGACCTCCGAGAAGCTCTTTTGCCCTGCCACCAATCTTTGCAGCCAGGTATCCTCGGACCTCGAGGTTGTCTTCCAGCGGCGCCCCACCCTCTCGAGCAGAAGACCGCACCCCTCGGAGGCTCCCACCCCTGGCGCCGTCTTCGTTCGAGCGCGCTTTGAACCCGGAGTCGGCTTAGTGCCGGTCCTTCCATTGTCAGCGCCGACGCTGGACGACCAAATTCAGGGGTATTTTCCACACTCATTTCCTGAAAACACGAGGACCCGGCGGTGGCCCAGAGCTGCTTCTGACTTCGCGCTCGATCATCTCAGGGAAGCGCCGATGCGGCTGAGGGCGGGTCCGTACGTACGGAGTACGTGCTTCATCTGAAGATTCTATGTTCATATGTGCTTACCCCAGATTGTTTCGGTGCAGATGTGGCAGCGAGCTCTTCGCGGACGGCGAGAGAAGACGCGAAGGCAAGGCTCGAGTCGGGGGGCGTGGCTGTCGCGTGACGGGAGGGTGGGAGACCGACGCGGGCGGCCTCTCGCGCGGGAGGCGTTGGACATACGGCTCGATGGCGCAATGGTGTTCGAGTGTGAGGCAAGCTGCACGCGCTCCATCCTGAACCACTTCTCTGACACTCATTGTACCCGCAGACGCACGGGGTCACGCCTACCGCACGTACACTCCTTTGACATCGTCTTCCAGCTGGACCCTACCAGTGGCACGCTTCCGCATGTTGCGACGCCCTTGCGAACTTCCCACCGCCCCGCAGCGTTCATACAATGCAACCACCACGCTCACACAATGCACGGCCTATACCGTGCTACTCGCGCAGTGGCATCGCGCCCCGTGTATCGTCGGACGCAAAGCTTGAACCCGCTGCAACGAGCGCTCCGATATCGATGCCTCAAGATGCCTTCGGATGCTACGATTGCCCCGCGCCGAAGAACCTTCCATCGTGTCCCGGGCGTCATAGGTGACCGCGCGCGACGCTTTGGAGGACGCTAGATCGTGCCGCTGCACACACGCGCCGACGACGACCCCGGACACTCGTTCATACAACGTTCATACTCGTCCCTGTCTCGGCGGTAACGGATTGTGGAAGATATGTCCTGTCACTTGGAGTTCCAGACCGACGGCTCCAGCGGGGGGCGCCTCGGTTGTGGGTGCTTCTGAGGCCTGGCCTGGCATGCGCTTGTTAGAAGTCGGCGGCTCGGTCGGGGTCGGACGAGGGGGTAAAGGCAATCGATACCACGCGGTTGGTCCCTATGGGCACCGGGAGGCGAGTACAGACGGACGCGGGGGAGAACGAGGTGGTGGTGAAGGGCAAACGCGTGAGGCGAGTGCGGGACGAGGGACGATGGCTATCTACATGATGACTAAGCACAAGTAAGGTACGACCGAGCTTGCCATACACGTGAGCAGATTCCAACAGGCCCCCACAAGCGAGGGCGTATAACGAGCACAAATCAAGGGGAAGACGGTGGTACGAAAGACGAAGGAACAAGGACGAGGGATCGAGGACGATGGGTCGAGTACGAAGGATCGAGGGGGACGCTGAATCGGTTACGCTGGTTCGAGGACGATGGATCGGTTACGCTGGATCGGATACGATGGTTCGGGGTTACGCTGGATCGAGGACGAGAATCGAGACGGGGGCATAGATGGGGCATAGAGCATAGGATCGGGGAGACAAATCGACGTGACATGGATCGGGAGCGGGGATCAAGACGACAATGCGGGCGACCAGCTACAACCTCAAGAGAGCAAGCGAATCACGATGTCGAGCACGCCAATGACGGCCGGCTAAAGTAACCACAACATGCCGACAGGGGAGCACGGAGGCGAGAAGGGGAAACAAGAAAATGCGCGAGGGGATCGTAAATCAAAACGTACAAATGTCCCGTGAACCTAGTAAGAGAAAGCCACAATAGGACTCTCCAAACAACTCCGGAACGGCGCAGGCGGTGGGCCGGGTGCCATGGCTAAGGCGGCGCGCTTCCTGAATGCGGAACTCGACCACGAGGAACACTGGTGGGAGCGGGAGCGGCGGCGGCGGCGGGAGCGACTCCAAGCAGCGCGGGCGGCGGATGTGAGGGCGGTGGAGATGGAGGGGCGATTCTTGCGATAGGAGGTGTGGGGGTCGAAGATCGGCGGGGAGAAAGCGGGATCGGAGGGTCGCGAACGGGTCGGAAGTCGAAAGGGTGATCGCGGGTCGGAGGGGGCTTCGGATCGTCGAGATCGGATGGCGCGGACAACGAGTAGGCCGGGCGTGGGCGCGGAATGACCTCCGGGCAAGGGTACGCGTTTGTGTTAGAAGTCGGCGGCTCGGTCGGGGTCGGACGAGGGGGTAAAGGCAATCGATACCACGCGGTTGGTCCCTATGGGCACCGGGAGGCGAGTACAGACGGACGCGGGGGAGAACGAGGTGGTGGTGAAGGGCAAACGCGTGAGGCGAGTGCGGGACGAGGGACGATGGCTATCTACATGATGACTAAGCACAAGTAAGGTACGACCGAGCTTGCCATACACGTGAGCAGATTCCAACAGCGCTGTCGAGGTGCGTGTGTAGTCCGAAGCGACGGCGACTCAGATAAGTCTGCAAGTCTTAATGCAGCGCACGGCCGGGGTGGCAATGGACACACGAGGCGAGGTCTTATCTTATCTGTACATCACGAGATGGAATGTCGATATGACGCAAAAGGCTGACGACGTGTGTTGACCCTTACAGTCGACGTGGAGAGACCGCCCGGCGGCACATGTGACGAGCACCCACAAACACAAGGGTGCGACCAGCCCTTAGATGCAGGCCCACAAACTAAGAGAACTCGCCCACCAGAAGAGCCGCACCTGCAGTCCGTACGCGGGATATAAGGTAGACGCGGTCAGGAACCAGCTACCATGACATAAGCAATCTAGGTGGCGTGGGAATGTTTCAAATCTCGCCGGCGAGTCCATCAGCAAAACGGGGGATTTGAAGATAATGCGTTGCAGTGCGTGATCAACGGCCGTATTACATGGTAAGTAATCACAAGACATATCACATATTACAGGGTGGTAGCCGTAGACGGCCATCGGTCGTCTGGCATGGCAATCTACCGCCTGCTAGACGCCGGTTGGTCGGACAATTGTCTTCTCCCGCCGCGCATTGTAATACACGAGGGGGCCGATGGCAATACACGAGGGAGACGATGGCAATACCTGGCTGCACGCATGGTAGTTGTCCGATCATACACAAGGCGGGACATGGTAATCTGACGCAATGGTTTTAGACCGTTGTCATAGGTTGGCATGTAAGATCGCATTTTGTAGCAGACACAGGCTGGATAGTGGTCGATTAAAACACACAGTAATCATTCAGAAGAAGATATCAGATAATGAAAGATATAGTACGAGACTACTGGAGGTATGGGGATGCAAGAACAAAATTCAATCGCGAGCTTTCCGCACTTTGAACGCCCATCGGAGTCTGTAAGACGAGACGATGAGTGAGTGCTGCCGGAGACAAGCGCATGCAATAAATACCGTTCAATCCTTGCCGCCCGACGCGTCGCCGAAAGGCTCATCGATGTCGCAGGTCTCCGCTTCGCTGTCGCTCTCTTCAAGCATCTGATCGCCTGTGGTCGGGGGACGGTCTGCACGCTTTTCGTGGCCGTTCCCAAAAAGCTCCCTGAGGTAGTATAAGTCAGTCGATGTCTCGATGAGCAGTGAAACTGCACAGAAAATCGATACTCACTTGACCCACCAAGACCTCCAGCTTCATAGCCCAGTTGGGCTTCTGCCACGGCCCGCACGGACTCGAGTAAACCGTTGACGAAATCGTTGACGTCCCAGTCCCCATCGGTGTCGTTCCAGGTTGGCTGACTTGTTAGGCAGAGGCGAACCTGACGCAATACACGTCAGAAGACGCCACATGAAGTCGCCAAGGAGCTCACCAGTGCTGCTGTAGCGACGACGGAGTACAGCTGGAAGCTGTCGGCATCCATGTTGGTCTTCTCGGCGACGGACTTCTGGCCCGGCTGCTTCTGAGTGAGTAACTGTTGAGACGGTAGCCTCACGCTAGTGGGCGCGACATCTCACCTGTAGCTTAGTAGAGCCTGTTTGAGGTCTCGCACGTAGTGTAGTAGTAAAAGGAACTGTGTATTAGCAGGCCGGGATACTCGGGTATTTATACAGGGTACGAACGAGTGGCTGGTGCTACTGTACAGTACACGAGAGAGGCTGAAACGAGAGCAAAGAAACGGGGCTACACTACGGTATCATAGAGTAGCTAGAGATAGCTCTCTGGAACGGGGGATGCACGATCGGAGACGTGCATGCCATGCAGTGGCGTTCCGTAGAGCGCGCCATACGGCTAGACGCTCTTAGGTAAGCCGAGCAGCGCATGCCGACAGAATACCCTGCCACTGGCGTTCATATCAATGACAACATACACCGCTACTGGCGTTCGGATAAGCTCATATGAGTGGGCGCTCTATACCTGCTACTACCGTCTATATGTACCACATAGCCACACATATGAGTGCCCTCACACCCTGCCACCTATACATATTATAAAAGTGGCTGCTTATATGAGTGCATTAGTGTCTTTCCCTCATATGAACTTTGTAGCGCCTTGCCACTCATATGAGCTCGTCCCCTCATATGAGCTCGCCCCCTCATATGAGCTCGCCCCCTCATATGAGCTCGCCCCCTCATATGAGCTTGCTCCCTCATATGAGCTCGCTCTCCTCATATGAGCTTGCCCCCTCATATGAGCTCATCGGCGTCTCACCCCTCATATGAGCTTATTAATATCCCACCCTTAATATGAATGCACCAGCATTCCACAGCTCCCATTAGCACATCTGGGAACTGGCATACTCTATTGCATGCCTGTGTTTCTTTGCATGTATAGGTGCACCCATGCCAGAGCAATTCTTCAGCTTATCATATCACTGAGACACAGGAACTGTACTCTGAAAGGACAGGAAACTGCACCAGCTGTGCAACCGAAACAGACAGAATGGGTGCCCATTAGTTCCATTTTTATTCACACAATGCGCAAAGAGAGAGCAAGAAACCCATGATAGAAAGTGCAAGGCTCAAGCCGATCTCCGCAATCGGCAATTGACTCCCCCCGGGGGTCACCTCCGGGCCGGTAATTGACTCCCCCCGGGGGTCGATCTCCGAGTTTTTGATCACCTGTGTATCTCCGAGTTTTTGACCACCTGTGTACCTCCAACTTTTTGATTGCCTGTGTATATTGTCAGCCTTCATTACCAGACTGCCTGTATCTATTACCGAGTTTTTGGACATCTGTGTGTATTACTGCTTTCATTGCCGAGTTTTTGATTGCTGGTGCCTGTTACCGGTCCTCATTACCAACTTTTTGACTGCCTCAATCCATCACTGAGTCTTTGTTCGCCTCCAGCCTTTGACACCGAGTTTTTTATCACTGATATTGGTAATATTAGATGAGTTAGTATGCCTGTACTAAACACCCTCTCCCTAGGAAGTCACCCTTCACAGCTGCATGTGTTGATGGAAATTGACCAAGCTGTTTGCTGGATCAGGTAGTAGCATGCAAGAGCTGTGGGTGTGCAAATCTGGAGGGCAGTAGCTGCAAAAGTGAGGGAGTAATGGGGTATGATATTCTAAAATGACATACCAAACACAGACATGGGATGAGAGTGTATCACATCCCAGACACCTAGATATATTCACAGAGGATGATTTAAATGCAATGCAGAAAAGAGCGCACAGAAATCAGGATTTCTGATGAAGATACAAGATATGTGTGGAAAGTGGAAGTTCTGAGAAAACACAACATGCATAAGTTCATGTGCAGACATTATATCAACAGGCTATTTGCTGCATCACAATTGAGTACTATTGGGGTGCTCAGATCGGAATTTGCAAGCTTATCGGTGATGAGATGCATATGGGGCACCATATGTCATTATTTCATGACATACAGTATCCTGACACAGCATATGCTCCGATTAGAATGCAAAAACATGGAATAGAACGGGGTAGAACATAGCTATCCAACGCAGAAAAGACCTTGAAAAACGGTTGAGAATCAGTGGAGATGTGCAAGGTGAGCCAGAAGTGTGGTTTATGCTGAATGTACTCTGACCTCGCTTTTCACTACAACCACACTTCTGGCTCACCTTGCACATCTCCACTGATTCTCAACCGTTTTTCAAGGTCTTTTCTGCGTTGGATAGCTATGTTCTACCCCGTTCTATTCCATGTTTTTGCATTCTAATCGGAGCATATGCTGTGTCAGGATACTGTATGTCATGAAATAATGACATATGGTGCCCCATATGCATCTCATCACCGATAAGCTTGCAAATTCCGATCTGAGCACCCCAATAGTACTCAATTGTGATGCAGCAAATAGCCTGTTGATATAATGTCTGCACATGAACTTATGCATGTTGTGTTTTCTCAGAACTTCCACTTTCCACACATATCTTGTATCTTCATCAGAAATCCTGATTTCTGTGCGCTCTTTTCTGCATTGCATTTAAATCATCCTCTGTGAATATATCTAGGTGTCTGGGATGTGATACACTCTCATCCCATGTCTGTGTTTGGTATGTCATTTTAGAATATCATACCCCATTACTCCCTCACTTTTGCAGCTACTGCCCTCCAGATTTGCACACCCACAGCTCTTGCATGCTACTACCTGATCCAGCAAACAGCTTGGTCAATTTCCATCAACACATGCAGCTGTGAAGGGTGACTTCCTAGGGAGAGGGTGTTTAGTACAGGCATACTAACTCATCTAATATTACCAATATCAGTGATAAAAAACTCGGTGTCAAAGGCTGGAGGCGAACAAAGACTCAGTGATGGATTGAGGCAGTCAAAAAGTTGGTAATGAGGACCGGTAACAGGCACCAGCAATCAAAAACTCGGCAATGAAAGCAGTAATACACACAGATGTCCAAAAACTCGGTAATAGATACAGGCAGTCTGGTAATGAAGGCTGACAATATACACAGGCAATCAAAAAGTTGGAGGTACACAGGTGGTCAAAAACTCGGAGATACACAGGTGATCAAAAACTCGGAGATCGACCCCCGGGGGGAGTCAATTACCGGCCCGGAGGTGACCCCCGGGGGGAGTCAATTGCCGATTGCGGAGATCGGCTTGAGCCTTGCACTTTCTATCATGGGTTTCTTGCTCTCTCTTTGCGCATTGTGTGAATAAAAATGGAACTAATGGGCACCCATTCTGTCTGTTTCGGTTGCACAGCTGGTGCAGTTTCCTGTCCTTTCAGAGTACAGTTCCTGTGTCTCAGTGATATGATAAGCTGAAGAATTGCTCTGGCATGGGTGCACCTATACATGCAAAGAAACACAGGCATGCAATAGAGTATGCCAGTTCCCAGATGTGCTAATGGGAGCTGTGGAATGCTGGTGCATTCATATTAAGGGTGGGATATTAATAAGCTCATATGAGGGGTGAGACGCCGATGAGCTCATATGAGGGGGCAAGCTCATATGAGGAGAGCGAGCTCATATGAGGGAGCAAGCTCATATGAGGGGGCGAGCTCATATGAGGGGGCGAGCTCATATGAGGGGGCGAGCTCATATGAGGGGACGAGCTCATATGAGTGGCAAGGCGCTACAAAGTTCATATGAGGGAAAGACACTAATGCACTCATATAAGCAGCCACTTTTATAATATGTATAGGTGGCAGGGTGTGAGGGCACTCATATGTGTGGCTATGTGGTACATATAGACGGTAGTAGCAGGTATAGAGCGCCCACTCATATGAGCTTATCCGAACGCCAGTAGCGGTGTATGTTGTCATTGATATGAACGCCAGTGGCAGGGTATTCTGGCGCCACCCAGTGAGCCGAGCCGCTCGGCGGCCCGTGGCCGAGTATGCTGAGCGTTCTCACGCGTAGTCCGCGGTGTACTTACCGCGTTCAACACCCCCCCTCGCTGAGCAGCCGTAATAAAGGCGCATCAGCGAAGTAAGACAGAGGCCTAAGGGTGGAATACAAGCCCTAGAAGAGGGCGGAACTTGAGGAACTTGTCAGGCCCCAGGTTCTTGGTGAAGAGGTCGGCGGGGTTATCTTCGCCTTGAATGTAGAATAATTCAACCTTCTTCGCCTCGACGATCTCGCGTATATAATGATAGCGAATGTCGATGTGCTTGGTGCGCTTCTCAGTGACTGGGTTCGAGGCGAGGAAGATAGCACCCTGATTATCGCTAGAAAGCGGTACAGGCTCGAGGAAGTAATAGATCTCCTCGAGGACGTTGCGCGAATAGACGATTTGACGTCCAGCGTCGTCTACAGCCATATACTCGGACTCGGTGACAGAGTGCGAGACAGTGTTCTGCGCACGTGACTGCCAGGAGAAGGCGGCGTTAGCCATCTTGACGAGGTATCCAGTTTGAGAGCGGCGAGTTGTAGGATCAGTGCCCCAGTCGGAGTCGACAAAAGCGACCATGCCAAGCCCCGAGTCGCCGTCGTAGACCATGGAGTACGATTGAGTGCCGACAAGGTAACGGCAGATGTACTTGGCCTTGGTCAGGTGATCTTCAGATGGGTTAGCGGCGTATTGCGCTAGCTTGGTAACTGCGAACGAGATGTCCGGGCGCGTGCCGAGCATGAGGTATAGAAGCGATCCGATGACCATTTGGAACTCAGCGCGACGCTCGAGGTTCACAGGCTGGTCGTTGGGTTCAGGAATGTACCCGGCCGGTAGAGGTGTGGGCTTGGATTTTGCGTTCACCATCTTGCAGCGCTCAAGGACGGATTTGAGGTAGGCGCATTGATCCAGATGGATCTTGCGGCCGTCGCGTCTGATCGTCATGCGGAGGAACTCCTTGGTCTCGCCAAGGTCGCGGCACTCCCAGCGCTTCATGAACTTCTCCTTGAGTTCGAGCACGAGCGCCTTGTCCTTGCCGCAGAAGAGCGCATCGTCAACATAGATGATGACGAGTACAATACGTCCGTCGCTATGTTTATAT